GGAAGAAGGGGGTGGGGATGAACCTGCTGACCACTTTTTCTTGCTTGTTAGAACATTTTGTATCCAAAACGAAGACCCAAAACCCAGAATTGGCTTCTTCTAGTGTTTTTCTTTTCGTTATTTTTGTTTTTATTCTTGTTCTTTATCATCATCTTCTTTGTTGTTGTTGCTCTTCACAGAATTTTCGGGCGGTCTTGTGCCCCCTCCTCATCTCCCAGAGAGTCCTGCATATAGAACCGTCACTGAAAGCATGCAGAAGAAAAACTAAAATCTTTTCTTTAGGGGTTGGAGCAAGATGGAAAGGGTAAGAAAAGGCATAGTTTCCATTCCGCAAAATAAGGAGGGCTGATGGCTAAATGGTAGAGCAATGGTCTCGTAACAGGAGGTTACAGGGGGGTTCGAAGCAAGACGATGGTCCTGTATTTTTTTAATGTCATGGTATTAATCCTAAATTACGAAATCCATCGGCAGAGGCTTCCCATAGTCTGTACTATTTATGTTCAAGCATAAAATGACATTCTCAGCAGCAAGATAAAATATATAATCATCATTTTTGGTGCTACATAAATCCCGTTGATTACCTTGATGATGATGTGGCTATTGATGATGATGATGATGATGATGACGACGGCGACGATGATGATAGTTGTTGTTATTATTATCATCATTATTACGAATATCATAACAAGTATTGTCATTTCTTATCAAAATCGTCACCATACACCCTAATAACCTTGGCTTGGAGTAAATTACAATCAACCTGATGTTCAAGCAATCGGTTTATAGCGCACTTTGGACTCATTTCTGAAGTTGCGTCCTAGAAAAAAATATTTTGTGTAAGATAATCTAGGGGCATGTTTTGGAATAGGGGGGGGGGGTATTTTTTAATGCAAGAGTGAATTCCGACTGGTCTACCTGGAAGTTTTGATTTAGCCCTGGAATATCCATCTGTAGCAGGAACCATTCTTCACCGTGGTTTCCATACACGTAGAACGGAGGATCAAGGGGGAGGGTCTCCCCATACTGGCGGGTATAGACCTGGAGGTAGTCCACAGCGTAGCCGTTCATATTGGCGTAGAACTGAAGACAGCGGTCTCTACGTGACCCGCCTATCAGCGGAGATATCAAGGCAGCATCATCGTCGAGACTAGCTCCATTGTAAGAATTGGGGTCAAAACTAGCATAGTATCCTGCAATAAGCAAGGGGAAAAGAATGGGGTTAAGAAGGTGTGCGTGTCATCTGTTGGCGATGCTGCTATAACAACACCAACTGGTATTACTATTGCTACTACTAGTGCCTTCTTCTACTACTACTACTGCTACAACAACAACAACTAGTAGTACTAGTACAGTACTAGTACTACTAATACCACTACTTCTTCTACTCCTACTACTACCACCACTATTAATACTCATTACTATTACAAATACTCATTTTTTTTCTTCTTCTTGTTCTTGTTCTTCCTCTTCTTTGTCGGCCAACTACATGTATAATTATTGAACTTTCTTCACTAACGTATGATCACGATGTTAGCCATATTGTACGTAGGCTACACATTAATTTTAGGAATACCGCATACCGAGTGTGGTTCCTAGGGTGTGGTCTTTCTTTGGTCCATAGTTGTTGTTCGAACCAGGTCCTGTTCCTTGGTACCTGAACCAGTCCATTTGGTCCCCCTCTGTCATCTGCACATAATCACACCACCCATCCTCCTCGAAGTCGCAATCGATGCTGTCCGCAAGAACAGGTGGTTTGGTCGTCTTTGGCGGTTGCGTCGTGACTGGAGGAGAAAAAAAGGGAACGATAAATTGTAGACAAATTTTAAAGACAATTAAAAGCAATTAAAGACAATGCGTCATCATCATCGTCATTATTAGCAGACCATCGTTAACGATGATGACATGATAAAACCATTCAGTGCTTTCTTGATAGGTCCATTCTACTGGCACTGCGGAAGAAAAGAAAAAAATAAAGGCAATTAATGACGCATATTTGTGGACAGTCCTTGTTCAAATAAAATTCCTAAATAAATTGCTTCAACTAACCAGAGGGACAGTCGATTCCATCGTAGAGGAGAATATCGTCAATAGCTATATCGTCTCTGTTTTCCTCTCCCGGCGACGCTTCAAATACGAGCTGGAATGAAGAAGAAAAAAAAAGAAGAAATGTATGTATTTGATATGCTGTATTAAAGTTTAAAAAATTATGCCCTGCATTGATGAATAATTTGTGTTTGCCCTGGATTTTTATGTCTCCTATGTAGTGTAAGTTTGATAAATAAAATGATGTTAAAAACATCTTTCACAATTTGTTTTCTCTGCTTCAGCGTCAATAGACTATGGGAATTTTTTGGTCTGCAATTGAATTCGTGGACAAACTTTGCTTTTAAGTTATACGAAAATATTCCCCTCAAATTGGGGGGGGGGGGCACCACCGACCCATGCCCCCCTTTTTTTTACTTACGACCTAACGACCCCGTATTTGCTCCTGTCCTTAGTCTTTTAAGTTCATTCCACCATTTTTCTCTCTCCCTGATCTCTCTCTCTCTCTCTCTCTCTCTCTCTTTGTAACTCTCGCCTTTTTTTTATCATACGGTTATATTTTATTTACCCAAAACTCTATTATTACGTAATTGAGTTTTAGGGGCTTTTACCAAACAACTATTGCTTCCTTAACACGCCCCTCCGTTTACATTTAGTTTAGTAAAATCATTTTTCAGTTCCTCAAATCTTATATTGAGTCTTTATCATGTTTATATAAACTTAATCCATTGTGATATGTCAAATATTGGATTTCTATTTATTTTATACATTCTCAAACGGAAATAAATCATATCAAATCACATCATTACACAAACTGCAAGTTGACTCCTTGGGTGTGTGATCTCCGCGACTAAGCCCTCCTCCCCCCCCCCCACTATACAAATATGCTGAATCCGCCCTTGTGTAATGTATATAGACGTACCTCGGATTCAGCAGTGTTGGCTGCGATATCCAAAGTATGGCGATGCCAGTAGTTGCCTTGATCGCCGGATGTGGTCCACTTTGGGTTCCCCAGGGTCCCATCGATGGACCTTACGTAGACATTGAGGGTCTCCACGTCGCGACCGTACATGTGGTACCACAGAACCACGCAAGACGTCCTCGTATGGGCTTTCATCGGTGGAGAGATGAGACGGGCCTTGTGTGTCGGTTTGAGACGGTAATTGCTAGTCACAAAGACAAAGAATCCTGGGGACAAAGATGGGAAGGTAATGGTAGTGACATCGTTGTGATTTTAGTTTTAGTCGTTGTCATGTTCATTGAGTTATTAAGCACGCACGTCTCATACCCACGTCTATTCTTGCATTTCTTCTTTGTTCTCTTTCTCGCCACTGCATTTCTGTCATCATCATCATGATATGTGAATTATTTTTAATATCTGACTATGATTTTAATAATGTTCATCATCTTTATCATGATCATGATCATCATCATCATCGCTATTCATTATCACCTTCTGTTCCTCCTCCTCATCATACCATCACCGCCCGCATCATCATTATCATCATTATCTTCTCACCAGTGCAATCACCAACCACATCCCCGCATCATCACCATCACCATTACTATCATGAGGATAATTATAATAATAATAATTATCCTCATTATCATTATCATCATCATCAGCAGCAGCAGCAGCATCATATAATCATCATCTCACCATCACCATCATCTTAATCATCTTCGTCATCATTATCAGCATATTGCCTCAAATACAATCACCACCATCACCACTACCACCAAAAACACCACCATCATCATCATCACCATCAGTTAATCGTCGGCGTTATTATCATTACCATCATCGTCACCATCATCATCATCAAACAAATGATTAACCAACGTCGCGCCGTGGTCGCGTCGTGGTCATTACTTGCACCATCTTCATCCTTCTCATCATCCTCAACGTCATCACATTGAGGACTATACACTCTCAAGAAAGATTACCGAGCGTCCTTTTCAGGACTGTTCAATCCTCCCTCTCTCTCACATGGTGCATCCGCAAGCCTACTGTATATCTACATCACCATGCAAGCCGATACTTACAAGCAGCATATATCATCACATTCATCATCTACCATCTACCTTCCTCCTCCTGCTCATTATCCTCAAGATGTCGTCCGAATCATCACCTTCTCACAAGCCTACCTAATTCATCTCCTCGTGTATGGTCCACATCGGGTCCTGTAAACCCATCGTTGGTTCCCCGGTTCCTCCAGCTCCAATCAAAGTCATCTGAGTTGTCCTGTCTATAGTAACATAGCTCCGCCTCCTCGAAGTCACATGACACACTCGATTCTTTCTTGATTATGTCTGTAGAAGCGGTTACAACAAAATCACAGTGTTGTATTTAAAAAGAGGGAAAGAAAGAGAAAAGAAAGAGGAAAGAAAGAGAAAAGAAATGTAAGGAAAGGAAAATAAATCATATTATAACAAAAAGAAAAGAAAAAAAAAAGAGAATGAAGGGAGGGAGAATAAAAATATAATAACAAAAAACAAAAGAAAGGAAACAAATTAAAGACGATAAGAAAAGAAACAAACACAAAATAACAAAAAATGGGGTATATGGTAAGGCCTGCTTGTAACAACGAAAACGGAGTTGCGTCATTTGAAATCTCTAACACGCAAGAGAGTTATTCATACTGTTAGATGTAATGAATACCCATCCTACCTACACTCACACCCGCATCCCACACTCGCACTCACCCACCTTATCCACCCCATCTACACCCACACTTTCTTATAGCAATACAAGAACGTTGATCAGTTAAAATAGCCTCGTAAAAATTGATATAAAGCAATGTAAACCACAAAGCCAAATTAGTGACAAATGGTAAACTTGATATTCTCATCGATTCGAAGCAATGATTAGTTAAGTAGATATGAACACACTTTACTATAAGAGACAGTAAACAAAGAAGTAGCCAATCAAAAGGCATTTATCATTTATTTTTGGGTCGATTACTAGATTTTTCCCGTTTTATAAATTATCAATATGTGATTTCCCCGTTACCAAAAAAAAATGCTACGTGAACAATTGTTCTGCGGCCAGTATCATAAACTGACCAAATTCTTAATTTCAAATCCGGACTAAACACTGTACATAACCTATATCCTTATTCTATCTTTGACGAAATAATGACGGAATCTTTTTTTTCTTTCTGAGTGTATATCAATTTTCGAGTAAGTTGAATCTGTACTATTCAATGTTAACGTCCCCAAGTATGTGAAACGAAAGACTTTATACAGAACTTTTATCTGGGGCAATTTGTATTAATGTATTTTGATCGTTGACAAATATGCACAATTCAGTCTTTTGTAATGCCAAAGATATTTTAACAAACATTTAGCTTTTACCACAGGCTCTACCAAACTTCAACCTCTTAGTTCAGTCTTTTCAGTTTATACTTAATGCAAAGAAATTGATATGAGTTACTCGCCTTCTGGTATAAAATTTGGCAATATAATTAATGTTTGCATTGGCGCGAAACGTGTTCTTTTTACCATTTATTTTGTGAAAACATTGCTAGATTACAAACAGTGAAACAAGAAACCATAAACCTAAACTGTTACGCAATAACATGATTTAACTTACGATGTCCTGAGCACCCGTAGCTCATGATATGAATATCATCCAATGCGATATCACTGGCGTAGTTGGATCCTCGTACAGCCTCAAAGTAAATCTGAAAGACAGTCAGTTTTTAGTAACGTTAATTTACAGACTTCACTTTGGTTGTGTTGACAAATAAAGCACCGTACAGTTTTTTTAATATTATAGAAATCTAATATTGACAAAGAGATAATTAGATGGTCTGTCAAGGTTTCGAAGGTGAGTTGACTATTCACAATTTGAGGCCTGCGGTAACACCATGCGTAGCCTTACTGAAACGGCTGGTGATGTATTCTTTAGTCAAAAGAACCAGCTAATGTAGGGTTTAGAGGAATTGAGGAAGTGACATAAGGGAAAGAAAGGAAGAGAGGTGTGGTGGTCGATAGGATATGTCACTGGACTGTGGATCATAAAGTCCGCGGTTCGAGTCCCGCCGCGGCAATAATGCCCTTTGGCAAGACATTAAGCTACATTAGCCACACTCGACCCAGGTGAGGTAAATGGGTACCTGGCAGAAATTGAGTCCTTGAAATGCTAAAGCGCCGTTATGGAAGCTAGGTTAAAGCCGGGGTAATAATTTCCAAGTTTCGAAGCGCATAGAGACGTAGAACCGAATATAATTTTTAATGGAATGGAGTTTTGTTATAAGAAACACTTACAAGAGATTAATTTTTGATTTTGGTTTTCGGTGTTATGCACACCAAAAATGAGGTGAAATAAATGGAGGATGAATTATCGAGATTAAGTTTGTGAACAGATAAAAGTTGAAGAGAAAAGAACTGTTGGTATTGCACTATGGACTTCTGTTTAGAACGACTCTGTATGAAGTTGATGTGGAGTTAGTTTGGTGGTGTGACTGAGTTATTTTACCTGGAAATCTTCCGGGGTATTGATCTCAGCTTCTCCCGCCCTCCACAAGTCTCCTCTGTTACCCGCCATCCACCAGATTGGGCTGCCGAGACCGGTGGAGCTGGAGTTGTGTAGGTACACGTTGAGTTCCCCCACTGTAGTCCCGTACATATGGTACCAAAACATCACGCAGAATGTCTCCTTGTCGTTGGGTTGGACACCTCGATATACCGGGGATATAAGGCGGGCTTTGTGGAACTTTGTTGCATCTGTGGCTTCGATATAGACGTAATAGCCTGTTGATAGATCAAAGTTTTGAAATACAGATTCGTTACATATAAGATCCGATCCGATCCGATTCCGAGCATTTATGCTTTCTTAGCAGTCAGGTAAAATAACCATCTCATCAAACATCATATAATGTGGACAATGTGGACTTCAAAAAAACCTTACCCGATTGGCTAATAAAGAAAGCAGAACCGCCTGATCCGATTGATCAATGTGTACTGCATTATGAAAATAAGCTGATTAGTTAATGTAAGGTGCTGAACATGCCTTTACTGACTGGCTAGTATTGGTTGCTGATACAAGTAACCTGATTGGCTAACATCGACTACAGAAAAGCCTAACCCGATTGGCTAATGTGGATTGATAAATTGCCTAACCAGATTGGCTAAAGTGGACTGCTGAGTCGCCTAACTCGATCGGCTAATGTGGCCGGTGAATCGCCTGACCCGATATCGACTCCAGAAACGTATCGCCTGATTGGCCAATAGGAACTGCAAAAACACCTTACCCAATTTTGGCTAATGTGGACTTTAGAAACACCTTACCTGATTGGCTAATGTGGGTTTCTGTATCTTCTTACCTGATGGGTTGATATCAAGGAGCTGAATATGTCTGAATACGCGCCATCTGTACACAGATTTTCTATCCAACTTCAGTTGATTTCGCTTGGTCACAACATGGCGTATTTTCTTTTTGTTTAGTGCTTGCCCAACAAAGCAGCATTCGAATCAATCGTAACTCATATTTCTTTTGTACATAGCTGCGATCATTTTAGAGTCGCGATTTATTTGAATCAATCGCCTTTCTTTATAATTTGAGGGCCCTGGTCTGAACTAAACAATGATTCGTACCCTCTCCCGTGGTATGATCCGCTTCAGGGCCTGTTTCAAATGAAGATGTGCTGCCTCTCTTGCGGATAAAGTTAAAATCATCCATTTGGTCCTGGACAAAGCCACCAAGACCTGTCTCAAAGTCACACAGTAGATCGTCTATTGATTAAAAAAGGTAGTGTTAAAAAAGAGGAGGCGAAACACGAAGATAAGTGATGATGAAATAAAAATTGGAAGATTTAGAAGGAAGATGGATAAGAGGAAAAGGAAGAAAAAGGAGAAGAAACCAAAAATATTAAAATGGATTTGATGACTAGTAATAGAGTGGCCATAGCCGTCAAACCGTATATGGCTACACCACATAAGAGCAGTCAGGGCATGGTGTTACACAACGATTAATAACATACATTGTAATGCGAGGGACAAAAGTGATCGGGCGATATTTTTGTTAACTTTTAAATTGTTATATCTAGCCTTATAGGCTTATTTTACATGAGCTAAATTGTCGGGTGAAGGGTGATATCCCCAATATCTCAAGCTGTCAGTACTGTTTTATAGGTCACTGTCTTCCTTATTAAATTATCCCTTTTCGTCAATCACCTGTGATTTGTAAAGAGGCAGAACGTATGTGTCGTCCCCCTTTTATATCTCTACGAAGGGACGAATCCAGGATTTTGATATATAAATTGGTAGCGGGGGGTGGGGGAGGAACAATGCCTACAAATTACATAGTTAAGGGATATAGTTTTGTAGTCATGTATGCCGATTGGGTTTCAAAGAAGAGGGCGGGATGTGCCCCACCAATCCCCATCCCCCAATGATCTGTATGGTTAGTCTATTTTGAATGTTACCCCTCGTAGAAACGCTAAAAATTGGAAACTAAGAGAAATAACAAAAAGTGAAATTACCGAGTGGACAGGCACCATCTTCGTCGAACACTGCTACATCATCTATCGCTATGTCGGCGAGTTGACCCTCTCCTATTCTTGCTTCAAATATCAACTTAAAGAAACAACAGGGATAGCAAGTCAACCATTATCGCTGTGCAATAAGCAGAGGAATATTTGAGTTTTTTTTAAAGAAATGCATAACAAAATGTCTTATTGTTATTGATTTTTAGAACCTTTTTACTCATTGAAAGCGTAGGAAAGTGAAATAGTTTAAGGCCTCTGCTTCTCCCCATATGGCTATTGCCATAGTATATGAAGTGTTCATCAATTTAGGTTGAATTGTCTTTTCATGTCATCGACAGCCCTATAGATCTAGACCGTCTGCAGGTATTTGTTCCAGTGACTCCTACAGTAAAGGTTGATTTTCGACTTTATCGTTTCACTAGGTATATGTCAAATTAACCCCCCCCCCCGAAAAAAAAAAAAAAAAGAAGAAAGAGAAAACAAAATTAGGGATTGCTCTTGATTCGTAAACGTATAGGTTTGATGCTTTCAAATACAATTTTAAATATATATATGAATATATTTTCAATTTTCATAATCTGAAAAACATTGTAAGTTTAGATTCAGCGAGCGAATCTGTATCTGAAAAGAAAGCTTACTTCTAAAAAGTTGCCATTATCGGAGCCTAGATCAACCAGACCACGATACCAGCCTTTTCCTTGCTGCCCCGTTCTAGTGTAAGCTGCATCACCGAGGACAGTTGAATCATTTCTACGTACATATACCCTTTGTAAAGATAAACAACAAAAATGAATTTTGAAATACAGTTAAACATAATAGAGTTGAATTGTGGTCATGCCATTGTGGCGTAAAAAACTGCCTGGAAACTATTGGAAAAGGTTAATTATGCAGTTCATACTAATTTATGTATACTGTGAACACTGGGGTCACCTAAATTTGGAATAGTATTGACTAAATCTCGTTGAAAGTCACATGCAATCAACACAAAAAATGGTATATGGGCCTATCGACACACATTGGTCAAGAGAGTTTGTACCCAATATTTGTGCTGCTTCTCGTTGTTTCGAATAATAGGGTATTGTAAGAGCAATTCAAAAAACAAAATTCCTGTGTGGTGTTCTTCCAAACTGACATAAAATGAACGAGAAAGTTCATATATTAGTTTTTCACCTTTATCAGTACTTGTTCTTCTCTTTAAGTAATTATTTTAACATTTCGTTTCGGTCCTACGGCTCTCTTTAAAAATCCCCTCAGTGTCGCTATCTGAATATGCATTTTTGGTCAGGTACTCTACCAAGTGTAATCAAGGAAGAACCCTCTCAAAGTCTTTTTATCGGGGGGGGGGGGCGTACCCCGCTCAAGGACATCGGAGACCCTTCCGAGAGGACTATGTTTGGGCATAAACTTTGATTTTGTGCTGATGCCAGACAAAAGCACATCGGTTTATTTACATTTTCTAATGTGCCATTTATTTGATCCTCATTTATTTTGCCTTAGTTTATTCTTTCGTGAAAAACAAGACATTTCACATAAAAAAGGGAATAGAACAGACATAAGAAGGAAAAAAAAATCATATTGTCAGCATCACTTTTCTTCATCTTTATTATCTTTATTATCAGCATTATTGTTTCATTCAACTGATGAAGTACTCGTGAAAATACACATTACATAAGTTAACACAGATTTGCATACAACAATCGTCTGCAAACGACGTTTAGGCACAAGTATATTACGATTTATATTTCAATTCTGATTTTAGATGTTAACGATTCCGTTAACCAAAAATTCATCTTACAGAACTCACTTTCTAAATCAAACGATATCAATGATTACATTGGGCATAATTGTTACATTTAAGGCGACTGCAAAGAGGGAAAACTCAACTGAAAAAAATGAATTTGTCTTTGTAATGTTCGCACATTTTAAAAGTTGATTGAAAAGAATGCTGGAATTTCATAACATTGATTTCTTGAAAGTCTTTGCGATCGTATAACTTGAAATAGAATGATTATTATAGTTGAGTTACTTGAGTGAGCCGGTGTCGTCCCCATACATATAGTAGTAAAACTGGATACACTGCGTTTGGGTAGCATCGCGAGGAGGGGAGATGATACGGGCCCTGCCCCTGTCCCCCGAAGACTGAGAGTTAGCCTGGGCGAAGAGATAGTAGCCTGTGGAGGAGAGGATGTCACGTAGAACAGAGGAAATAATTCAATGTTCTCTGAGGATCGTAACACATAGCTTAGCAATTGATCCAACGACTGATATTTGCGATTGATTGCTCATAGTGATTGATGCAATCAATCGCAAAATTCAATTGTACAATTAACAGCTAAGATTTGTGTTAGGTGGCCCAGGGCCCCGTGTTATAAAGAGTTACGATTGATCAAAATCAATCGTAAATCCTCCAATCAATCGCAAGTTTGCAGTCTCCTATCTCTTATGTACATAGCTGCGATTGATATCAACTCTTTATAAGATGGGGCCCAGGTCTGATAAAGAACTGATTTTCGAGGGAACCTGCCTTGAAGTTATTTTCAATTGCTCGCCATGGAACATAATTTGTTGTTTGGGTCAGCAATGATACTTTATAATTTAAACATTATTGCATAATATTGTATTGTCTTCCTACTACTGGTATTTGCCGTTCAAGAATATTTCCAGTATCCTAAGTTCAAATATGAGTACTTCCCATTCATACTTCCAGATACATTTGATTTTAGCACGTTATTTGAAAGGTGAAGTAATATAATACGTTGAATGAATTCAAAAGAATGAATTAGGCTTAATACAATTTTTTAATTTTTTTTTACAATTAACGGAATTCCTTCGTAATTATGATATTAAAAGCTATTTGTAGGCAAGTATTGCCAAGTCTCTTTGAATCGTATTATTTTACATTGAATTACACATGTGGGTATTCTTGACAGTTTTGCTTTCGGTTGACTCCCTTTAACATAAATAAGAATAAATAATATGTGACAAAAACAAAGGGCACTTTTCAGTGGTCGCAGACAGCGAATAATTTGGATCTAGCGCCCCCTCTTGTTCCTATATACAATGCGTTTTTCTTGTCTATGAGCAAATTCAACCATGATTACCTTTAAAATCGTTTGACTGTTTACAGTTTTGCATAACCTATTTCCCTTTTCATAATTTCCCTCTGTCTTTATCCCTTTATCGAAATTATGAAATAATAGATAAGGAAAGAACTTCAAAGCTCTCAAATTAACTAAAAACAGCAAGACAGTGAATAGCAAAAAAAAAAAAAAAAAAAAAGACATGAGAGATAAAGCGAAAGGAAGATGGAATCAAAGAAAAAGAGAGAAATGAAACGAAAATGGAAAAGACTAAACAGAAGAAAAAAGGGGAAGAGAGAGAGAGAGAGAGAGAGAGAGAGAGAGGAGAAGGATAAAGAAAAGAGAACAAAAGAACATGAAAGAGGAGAGACAGACAGACAGAGATAAAGACAATGAAAAGGTCGGAGAGATTCGCCTTGGGGATCCCAAAATGCGAGAATAAACCCCCTTCATTTTTTAAATACATCTGGAACCTTCTTCATGTTGTATATTTTGATTCCAATTTAGTTTTATAACTTGAATCAATATTGACCAACTTTTATAGGGATCATCGTCCCATGGTTTTCATCTTTTTTTATAGGCCTAATATCCTGTTTTATTCGCGATCTTCGTACAAAACGAGATCATCTGAAAGTTCGACTTGATAGAAGTACAAAACTTCAACTTTAAAGGGCAATCCAACCCTGGCAATAAGTTAATTTGTATGAGAGCAGAAAAATAAGAAAGACGAAATAGCCAACGTTTTAAATAAATCGGACCAATGATATTAGAAAGTTTTAGCTATTTGAAGTATGAGATCACTGCGTCTATATGCCAATCTGATATTGGCATTTTGGTCATTGGAATGTGACGGATAATTCTCCCGTTTGTCGTATACAAAAATATCATTATTTTGTTGGTCTCCCAAATGCCTTTTCCCTTTGGGCTCTACTCAAAATACATTAAGGATAACATAATTTTATACGTCTTCTTTGTATGTTGAAACGAATGAGGAAGTTGTCCGCCTCTACATCGCAGAGACATTACAGATTCAGCCAAATTGAAGAGCCCATACCTTGAGTGATCACAACTTCCATAAATTGATAACTTTCTCATTACATGTTTTGTCTAATTTTATTCAAAATTTCTATCGTATGTTTCTTTGATTTCCTCTAGAGTAGTTTACTATTTGGGCCCCCTTTTTACGTGATAACTCTTTATAGTTCGGGGCCCAGGTGAATAGCAGTTTGGGTTTCCCTTTAATTGCTAACTGAGAGGCAAAACGGCCCAAATCCACCAAACCTGTTAAAAACAAAAACAACTCTCGGTAGTTGTTCTTTGTATAGGACTAACATTTAAAGCTGAGACTTTTTTTGTCAAAAATCGGGTTTAACAATCAAAGTTAGAATGAGTTTTAAGATTTCCTTTTGTTTAACGTGATATCAGAACCAGGGTAGTAGAACATGGATCGGAAAGCTTTCATCGGTATGTGTCTTGATGTTTTAATTAGAAAAGCAGGAGCAGGGGTACGCCTTTTGTCAGTATATCCAATGCTTTCTTGATAACTAAAACCTTTAAACTTGGAGTTAGGCCTTTATACCTCACATGATTTCAATGTACTGAAGGAGATCCAATAACGATCCAATGCTTACCTTGTGTTGTACCAGATGAATGGTCTACGGCTGGTCCCGTCCCTGTTCCTTCAGCGCTACTCGAACCATTCTGACGTAGCCAGTCGAAATCAACACCGGTGTCTTGCCTGTAGCCACACATGCCCCATTGGAAGTTACATGGCATTTCCGCCTTGCAGGCAACTTTAATTTTATCGAGAAAAGTGTCATAAAATACATTAATGTTATTCTCTTCCTTTAAGTTTGGATGTGGTGTTGGTGTTCAAAGTTAATGAGAATGATTGTTATTAGTAAAATTGATAAAACATCAGTATTGTATTTGCATGGTACCAGAAGATCAGCCTAGTTATTAAAAAGATGTCCCTAATCTTGACGAAAGAAAGAGAAATTCAGCCGTCTCTTAAATGACTTAATCATTTTAGAAATGTCCATAACCTCTGCATTCTTAGGATTTCTATTTCAGACCATATAGTGGCAAATGTTTACCAATATTTAAATCGTCGTGATCTAATCACTTGATATTTCTAACTACATCGCTTCGGGTTTCTAATTACATTGTCTTTCTTATCAAATCGTGCTGCTAATCACGTCGTGTTTCAAAAGAAGTTGTATTTGTAATCGCGCCGTGCTTCTAGGTACGTCGTATTTTAAATCTTATTGTCCTTTTAATCACGCCGTCCTTCTTTTCATTCTCTGTTTCTAATCACGTATTGTTGATAACAACGTTTTGATAAACCACTACTTTACCTTACCCCCTTTATTATGTTGTCTTTCTAACCACGTCGATTTTCTAATCACTTCGTGCTTCTAAGCGGATCACGTCGCCTTTCTAATCACGCCATGTTTCTATTCTCATCACACCGTGTTATTAATCACACCACGTCGTTTTCTAATCACATCACGCCGGGTTTCAATGTTTCGTTTCTTATCACATCATCTTTTAAATAAGACTTTCTAATCTGGTCGTCTTACGAATCACGTTGCATTTCTCATCTTGCCCTGTTTCAAAAAGTCGTCTCATTAAAATTAAAACCAATTCCTTTAGAAGAAAACGTGTCTACTTTTTTTTTTTAAAGTCCGGTTGATTTACAGATGCTGCATTGAGCAAGGAGATCTCTCCTCCCTTCACTCTCCCACTCTCACACATTCCGCCGATTTTTTTTCTTCCTCAAAAAAGTTTTCATGCATGATTAATTATTTCGTCGCATTTTGTCTTAACCCTCCCTAATTCGTAATTTCATCTACAATACCCAATCATATATATTATATAAAAGTGCGAAAATTCTCAACTCTGACATGACAACGGGCGTTCCAGAATATGTACAGCTACGTCTCACGTTCCTAGACCATTTTCTTCACGCCTATATATATATATATATATATATATATATATATTAGACAACTAAGCTCTTCTGTAGTATTACTATTAAATCATCGAAATACTATCTCTACATTAAGACAAGAAAATGCCTCTCCATTTAATACTTTTCATGTTTCCAATCCTACTTGATTAATAAAAAATCAATCTTCTTCTGGTGCCTCCATGCACCTTGGTGCCAGAGTGACATACATCCGCCGCCAATCTTTTCATTTCTTCATAGTTTTCCTTACAACTTAAATAGATATACCTATTTCAAAATCATCTCTTTTTATTTAAATTCTATTTTATTACATACCTAATGCTGTAGCAACGACTACTGTCCTCAGTAAAAACATCCTAGACATAGTTCCAGCGAAAGTAAAATATATTCCAGTCTTCCCGAGCTATGATTTCCAATATTTTATCATTTCTACTGTGCAGTAACGAACCAGGCACGTATATATCGTATAAGTTTTGAGTTTCATAACCTATCAGGCGAATTTAATTGTTTTTTTAGTGCTCAGTTTTCGTTTCCAATTGGCTCGAGTTTTAATTATTGATTCGATATGCAAACATTGTGGCCCTATTATTATCATAACGCCCCTTAGCTTCATTAACATACACGAGTGCGTACAACGTACCGGAAGGGGAAGCCGTTTGACAGTCTTTTCGCCTTGGTATAAAAAGGGCACAGCCGGCCCATGCCCCCTTTTGAAACACATGGCATACACCAAGTATAAAAGAAAAATATAAAAATGTACCCTTAATTGTTTATTTTCGGAATTGGGCTCCCTTTACAAACAAAAATCCTCGATCCACCCCTAGTGGTGGAGAGGGGGGGGGGGGGGTATGATTTGTATTAACTGAATCATATACTGTGTTAGGTACGACCTGTTATTACCAAAATCCGTATGTTTTATTATGGTCTTAACAAAAACCAAAAAACAAAAACGTTAGCTAAACACAAAGTGTTCATGAAATGAATGGTTGAATGTTGGTTCATTTTCTGTTTAATATGAGGCATAATCTATAATATACGGGCAGTTACATATACACCATAATAGTATGTTGCTGGCGTAAATATATCTTAATAACGTAGGAATTTTGCACAGTGAAGATCTTATGTATAGATTCCTAATTGTACCTTACTAGTATTGCATTAAAATGACTTACATTGAATGTTACATACATGTATAAATGGAGTGAACCTGTAAGACAATTATAATGCAATCGTTCTTGTTTTATACACAACCTGCATATTAACTTGAACAACCTAAATCTTGCAAAATTTATGTGAGTTTGGTTGGCCCGAGGTAATGCGAAATTTCCATCCTTATCAGCAATGTAAACAGCCAATCGCAAAAACCAAGAAACAAAAAACAACCACAACAATCACAACAACCCCAACACCCCGAAAACTGTAGAATATGTCATAAGTAAATGATTGTTGACAATGACATATAATAATACATCAATATCACACAGAATCACCAACATTTTGAATATTATGGTCATTTTAGGTAAAAATAAGCTTTCGAAGCAAATTCATAAGGATCATACAGGAATGGGAAGACATAAATGTATAAAGTTTACTTAGGCCATTAACCCCCCCCCCGAATATACATGTACCAATACTTGACAAAGTCTAAAGGGAACACTTATGATGGATGCACCGTGCATTTCATGTCATAATGATCTCAATGTCGAATATATTTGAATACCATATTGTCCTTTCGTAATACATGGAAAAATTCCCTTTAAATCATTGTAAAAATCGATGGATTGATTGATTTATTTATTTTATATTTGTAAAGCGCTTAGAGACATTTGTATTAAGCGCTATATAAAAATCAAATATTATTATTATTATTATTTTTTTTTTAAAGCGCTAACAAAATCTATTTAGCAACTTGGCTGGTTTACAAAAGGGTCGTGGAAAAAAACAACAACAATTGAATAAGAAATAGAAATACAAATAGTCACAACAAAATAAAAATTACATATCAGCAAAAAATATAAGTATTGGATGTTACATAGCATAAAATGCGATGTAGAGTAAGTTTGATGGAATACAAACACTGCGGTAAAATATACTCTGAAGAAAATGGTATAAAGTGTGATCTCGTAACTGGCGAAACCTGGGACTTATTACGCCCCTTGGCACCTGGACATACTTTATTGAGGGATAGCATATATCATAAAATGATATAAATTGTATATAGATTATTATATACAGATATATTGTTTGACCTGCCATACATCACGCAACCGCCATAAAAAAACAACTTTGCGTGTTACTATCATAATTGCTATAAATACTTTACAGAAAGCGTATATGGAGGTTAAACGACAGATGATGGGACAAAATGCGAAATAACTGGAAAGAAGAAGTTTTCGGAATGAAAGTGGAATATCTGCTTCGTAAATTTAAGAGAGATGACAAAGAGCATGTACTGTACTTCATTCGTTATTACTTTTATACAAATAGCTCCTTTAAATGTCTGAGGCGTAATAATCATTAATAATAATTCCCATGGAATAATCACATTCTCTCCTCAACATATTCAAGATTTAAAAAATCTTTGGATCTAATTCTGCTCACTCAAACTGCACAAAGACTCACAATTTCTTGAGATTAACCGATTGATGAGTTAATGACTGAATCAACAAATCACGTCTAATCTTCGAAACTACTTGAATCGGGAATTTAGGCATCTGACCCTAATCCAGTCCCACCGATCACCACCTGGGGGTCCAAATTACCTCCCCCGCCGTTTCCCGGTTTAATTCCAGAGAACGGTACGTCATCCATCTTCTCATTCTTATACCCGATAGTCAGAGAACTTAAACTCATCGAGCTGCGAAATTTCAAGAACACAACGAGAACCACGACGACTACGACGACGATGACAGCAATGATGATGCCGACGATCATGCCAACATTGGAATGACCGCCTTGCTGTGGTCCCCGACTTACAATGTCGATGGGTGTGGACATCGGGCCTGACGTCGATGAGGAGGATGTTGCTGTCGGACGAGAATTGATCGGTCGTGAACTCGTTTTCACGGGTTCTTTTGTCGGAGGTGGTACATCTGTGGATTAAAAAAATATCAATGGGTTATAGTTTCAAGTCTTATTCGAACTCATTTTGTTAATCTCTTTAAGCAGGTTAAGCATGGTCAAAATGATCTCTCACATTATTATCACCATAGTTGTTATTATAATTATTATCATTATAATTATTATTATTTTAATTTATTTTTGTAATTATTATTATTATTAATATAATAATAATAATAATAATAATAATAATAATAATAATAATAATTATTATTATTATTTTTTTTATTGGGGGGGGGAGGGTGAAATTTACTGCACGATATGGCAAAACGATTATTGTTATAAGTTTTTTTCCTTTGCTAATTTCATCATTTTTAGATGTACTCGATGATTATATGGTTGTACATATAGTAATATTGTAAATACTACCGATCACTTCTTCTACTACAACCGTTGTCATTTCTAGGTCGTTTTCCCCCTGTTTATATCATTGTAATTGTATTCCATACAAAGTTTTATTATTCTCCTCATTTGAAACATGATTTATTAATCTCTTACATTGATTGCAGGCATCCAGATGTTTCGAGAGGAAAACATTGTCGATGGCTATGACTCCTCGCGTACTCGACCCATACATAGCCGTGAAGACAAGCTAGAAAAAGCATAAAGACATGAATAATACACATATTGATTTCAATTTACTTGATTTGGCGGTCATCTATTTTCCATTAACAACATAACACATATATGGATTTTAACACGTACGGTCACATAAATCAAACATAGAATAAAAAGAGTCGTCATAAGCACAGCTTGAGCTGACGTCCTCATCATGGATAATATATTATCAACTTATGTCAAATATGTTCTGGTATATACTTGTTAAACCTAAAAGAATAGATACATTAAAACTCATAATACTACCTCGGTCAATCAATTTTGAATTTTTACATTGATTTGTCAACAAAGGGTTTAGGACCATAAACATCTACTCTATCTCCATTCATGATATAATTGATCCTATCTTATAAATCAATAATACACGGTAAACTTTTGTTGGTTGTAGACGTATGAAATGAGATACGATTAATTTGGGGGCAGATACAGTCCATGGAAACTCTTAAATAAATATGAAATTACTCCCCGGGTCACCTCGAGAGCCCATATCACATGAAGGTGTAACATTCTTTAAAAGTGGTTTAGCCCCATCTCGTTATCATGAACTATGTTTCTAAATTCTATACCTTCGCAAAGAATGCAAAAATTAACCTGCCAAAAACACAATTCAAATGAAACCAATCAGCGCCGCGTTTCTATACGAGGCTCGGAAAACAACGTTGTTGTCTAACCGGAATACAATTGTTGTTGGTTGTATTTTTGGCGTTTAGTCAAATTTGACTATTTACGCCTAGTCTGGTTCTTTAGTTTAATCATTCGAGTTGTAATAGTCCCTAGCTTTGAAACTCTGTGCGTCTGTATTTCGCTGGTCCACTGCTGGGGATCGATGTATCGTCCCGGCACAGAATTAGGCACAATAAACCGATTATTCGAGCAGCTAACGGAATTTACCAGGTCCCTTGGATATCTGGAAAATGGGCGCTGCAAGCAGAAATGCATAGTGACATGGAAGGTCACGGTGTTCTTAAAATCCTATAGAAATAATCCTTTAAAAAAGGGTTTTAAATCAACATTTAACAAGGACCAAAGTTTTACTCTCAAATTTTGAAAAAAATATGTAACTTCTCGGCCCCTTTAAATGATGATTTAGCATTCTAGTTTTTAAGAGTTCGCCGACTGTTTTAGTATATGACTTACCTGGAACGGAGAACTGGTGAGATCACCCGGTATCGACCAGTTTCCGGTGACCCACGATCCACCCAGGTCTCCGGATAGATGGCCCACATCGCGCCGAATCTTTGCACTCGTCTCTTCGACTTGGATCAGTAGCTGCTGATCGCTGTCGGCTGTCAGTACGACGTCGAGTGTGAGGCAACTGGTCCAGCCGCGGAGGTCATAGACCGCGGAGGAGAGCACGGCACTCTGACCCTTGCTCGGAGTCGAAACCATGGTGTACATGTAAGAGGTTGGAACTGGACGAAAAAAGAGAGAGAGAGAGAGAGAGAGAGAGAGAGAGAGAGAAAGAGAGAAAGAGAGAGAGAGAGAGAGAGAGAGAGGAAAATCATGAAAATATCAAAAAAGCTGGAAATAGGCCACAGTGCCCCTCCTCTCCAAGCAGTCTCCAGGAGTCTTGGGATGGCCGGTGCTGTTTTCTACCGATTTTTTTTTGAGGGAATGGAATAACGGTAAATTTGCCTTTGGGTGTCAGGGGTGTAGAACTGCAGAATACCTTTGATAATCGCATCAAATAGGCTTAAAGGACGCACACATTCCTCACGAAGGGATGCAATGGTTAAGTGTACGGTTATGCAATAAGCAATAGGCCTGTTGCATTGTTACGTCATTTGCTGACGTAGGTCTGCGTCATTGACTTGTGCGTTGTTTAACACGAAATATGGGAGTGAGTGACATGGTAGAAGAAGGGAATGTAACATGAAAGTTGCTGATATCATGAATATTGCGTTTAATTACTGGCGTGTGGACGTTTTGATTGGAGAGGGTCGATTAGCGCAAAAATACAATTAAAATAACACCTCGTGTTAATGGGCATTATGTCAGCTTCATACGACGCATCGTTCCAATTGACACAAGCAAGACATGCCCAGATACAGTCTCTATTATTATGCAACTCCATACCGCAGGCTTGCGATGGCCTAGCGTAAGGCTTCAGAATCGTCCAGCAAATCGGATTTGAAGTAACAAATCAATGAATCTTTACAAACCGATTACAGCGTCTGCATTCTACAATATCGAACTACGCAGCCAACTTCATCTGTACATAATAATTCACCGTTTACTCTGGCAATTATCTATTTGCGCAGAGGAATAACGCCTCGCGCACAGCCGTTACGGTGACTTTTGCTACTCACTTGTGTTGAGAGGCGGTTCTTCAACGGCCAAGAGATCGAACCACTGCCATTGGTACGTAGCTTCCACAGCCTCACTGTAGCCGCAGCCGCTAGGACCCTGTTCGAAATTACACGTGCTCTCCGATGGGTACCCGTCACACGGCTGCCTTAAGAACATGATGTCGTCGATTGCGATATCGCCCTCGAACCCGGATGTGATTTTCTTGGTGGAGAATTCGAGCTGAAGCAAAGACGTTGGGTCATATCAATTTTTAGTAATTTGACAATGGTTAAAAAACGAGTAGAATTGATCAATAATACAGTTATATGATTTTGAAAGAGAGACATTGGTTGAGGGGAAAGGAGATACATTTGAGGATTATACTGGATATACGCTACAGAGAGAGAAAGAGAGAGAGAGAGAGAGAGAGAGAGAGAGATAGATAGTGAGAGAGAATGAGAGAGAGAGATAGAGAGAGAGAGAGAGAGAGAGATAGTCTATCTCTCTCTCTCTCTCTCTCTATCTCTCTCTCTCTCATTCTCTCTCTATATCTAAGATATAGAGATAGAGATAGAGAGACACACACACATATATAGATAGATCGATAGATAGAGAGAAAGAGAGAGAGATGAGATAGATATAGATAGATAGATAGAGAGATAGAGAGAGAGATGAGATAGAAAAAGAAATATATAGATAGAGAGAGAGAGAAAGAGAGAGGAAGAGAGAGAAAGAGAGAGAGAGAGAGAGATAGAGAGAGGGGGGGGGGGGGATGGGAGAAATGACTTAGATGATATGATTCACGAAATGCAGGACAATGTCTGCATCAAACCCCACGTTAATAACTTTCGTAGATTTTGACAGAAAATGTTACAGAAGGGTTTCAGAAAGAAAAAAAAAATCGCCATCTAATATTTGTTTACCCGGTAATCATAGACGCCGGTAAAACTAGCTGGTATATCCACGTTGGCCGGGAGCCACTTGTTCCCCTGGTCGCCGGAAAACGAAAACGGTGTGATGTCGTCGTATAGGTCCTCTAAGTCGACATCGACGGACAGCGAGCCGACGTCCTTCCCGTAGGCGTGGTAGTAGAATCGAACACAGATATCCTCACCTCTGCTATTAACGATGGGTGACTGCATCATAGTGCGTTTGTTGGGGCGATGCGGTATAGACGACTCGACGTAAGCGTAATGCCCTGTACGGTGAAGAGAGAGGGAGGAAGGGGTGAAAAGTGTAAGATATGCCTTGCTTATAAAAACAAAACAACAACAACAACCTTTCTTAGGAATGAGGTTTAAATTTCAATTAAATTGATCACTATTCTTTTGACACATTTCGGAAAGTATGTTTGACCTCATGTTTAGAAGGAGAAAATCTGAAATTGTTACCTGCTGCATTACCGGTCGTGTGATCGGCTGTAGGTCCCGTATTGCCAGTGCTAGTGCTACCGCTGTGTATAATCCAGTCAAACTTATTATAATTGTAGTTTTCATAACCGCAGAGCGGGTCGGTCGTAGACTCAAAGTCACAGTCGGCAGCCCAAGGGACCGGCGCTTCCGTGGCTGCGAATGGAAAACATAGACGAAAGAGAATGGGAAGCGTTACACTGTCGCAAAGACTTTCGAGAAGTGATAACGATAATTCTACTCAGGGTTGCCTCATCAGAATCATTTCTGTTTTTCCTGAAGGCCCTACAATTTATTATTTCAGCCCCACAAACTGTGTAGGAAACCATTTACATTTGGGTGGAGAGTGGCAAATATGGATGAACGTCTTGCCTAATGACTTTAGTGGTGCCCTAGGCTTCGAACCCTCAACCTTGGAATGAGTGTCAAATGTTCAAACCACTATATGCCTACCACCACACATCAAAAATGCATTTCCATTAATGAGGAAAAACGAACATAAATTATGTTTGCCTGATATTAAAACTATTTATTTTATCGTATCTTTTAACCATGTCATCAGGAAGCAACATGAGAAAGATAGATGGATAGAGAGGGAGAGCGATTGAGGGAGAGAGAGAGAGAGAGAGAAAGAGAGAGAGGGAGAGAGAGAATAAGACAAAAAAGAAACGGTTGAAAGATAGATAGATAGAGAGGGAGAGCGATGAATAGAGAGAGAGATGGATAAAGAAAGAAAGAGAGAAGAAGAAGAAGAAGAAGAAGAAGAAGAAGAAGAAGAAGGAACGGATGAAATTTTGTTACCTGGAGCGTGACATTGTCCGTTCTTGAGAGTCATATCATCCATAGCTATTTTAGAAGAGTATGTTGACGTGCCTACATTCCCAACAAACAAGATCTGAAAGATAAATAAAAATAAGTGTCTTTAAAAAGACTCTTCAACATATATATTTTTTATACGAACCACCTTTCCTAATTTACCAAAGGCATATGTACATTACATTATAATTTACATCAAATGAGTTCGAAAAAATAAAACATCGGGGTAACGCCCCCCCCCCCCCGTCTCACCTGGAATGGCTGGCTAGACGAGGGAACATCCATTGTGAGTTCTATCCACTGCTCGCCGTGATCGCCGTATATTGCAAAGGGCGGGTCGAGAGTCCGGGTGCCTCCCCACTCTACGATCTGGAGGGTGAGGTAATCTATGGAATAGCCATACAGGTAGGCGTAGAAGGTCAAGCAACGGGTCTGTGTCTTTGGCGTGATGACGGGCGATTTCAGCACGGCCGAGTCGCCAAATTCTGCTCCCTTTAATGAGTACGGGTCGAAGCTTGCGTAGTAGCCTTTAGATGTTATCAAGGGTTTAAAATGAGTACCAAGTTACAATTCAAAACTTATAGCTAATGAGCATGATGAGTGCTGGGGTTATCCGGGGTGCATGTCCAGAGGGTAGGTGTCCTAGAACCTGGGAAGCTATTACATTTTTACTGAAATATCCGACACAGAGAAATAGCCGACACGAAATATTTAGGGATTGTCCTACGAGAAATCGTTTGTAGTTGATACGATCCAGGAAAAATTTGGGGCTGGAGCTAAGGATAATGTAGAAACTGGTTCGAGTCCTAGTAGCGGCACTAACGTGTTTTGGTAAGACACATATTTTATATCTCTGCTAATAACTACTTTCACTCTCATGAGAATGGTGTAAGTATTATTGCTTTACATACATGAGTGTGTATGGTGCGAATTAAAGTAGTCCACCACCTTTTGGAAATGTTCCAACGTTACACTGACTTATTAAGTAATCCCGCTATGATTCTATTGCAAAAGGGCTATACAAAATGACAAATGGTAGTGGAAATGCCCTTGAGTTTAATTCTCGAAAGTCTTTGGGATCGAGTTCGTAATACTCACCTAATATTGTACCCAAAGTGTGATCCACATCGGGTCCGGTAGTCCTAAAGCTATCTCCTTTTCCCTGATCCCTTGTCCAGTCTCCGTAATCAGTGTCCAGGTCTTGCATGTATCCGCAGAAATCTTCCTCGAAATCGCAATCGATGTTGTCTCTCGGGGGAGGCATGGTAGTAGGCGTCGGAGCATCGGTGATAACTGACAAGGAGATATCATATAAATTCTGGTACTTCGTGTATACAGTTAGGACCAATGGTATTGACTTTCCACCATCGTTAATATGTCGCTTTGTCGCTACTGACCGAGTAAAGCCGAAAGGACATAACGTGGCACAAAGTGTATTTTGGGGAATGCTATAGCTAGATCATCTTGAGGTTTCACAGATAAATTTAGATTTAATGCAATGATCAAGTCTTTATGTTTGATTAAGAATGATTTCCCAATGCTTCACCACATACTACATGCACACCCACTATCGACATGCCGCGACAGTGCTAATTGGGCAAAAAAGCGACAAAACGCTATCGTGGCAATAGCTTTCGGTCCAGTATTAAAGTAGGGAATTGTAGGGTTTCGGCTTAGGTTGCAAATGGGTTTAAGTTAGGATAGTTTTCGATTAAGGATTGAAGTTAGGAATTTAATCAGTTGAAGAAGTTGACCGCTGAACAATTGTAGCGGGAACGTTAATCGTATGTACAATCAATAATTCTCCTGCTGATTGAATGGCTTTTTCCCATCGGTGATCTGAAATTGTCTCTACTCAGGGACAAATTATACTCCCGAAATTAATTGCCAAAGATATATGGTTAAGGTTGCAATTAGGCGTTCGGTTAGTTCCTAGTCTACGGACAATCGGTGTTAGGCCTAGAGTTTGGTCTAGAGTTGAAATTAAGAAGGGTTCGTGCAGGCTAATCAAATCAACTCACATTCTGGACAGTTCTGATCTTTGTAAAGCATGACGTCATCTATCGCGATGTCATCACGTGTCTTTTCCCCTGGAATAGCTTCAAATACTACCTAATGTGCGGAGAAGAGGAAAAATGGGATAATTTTAATTTTATCAGAAAAGGGAACCCGAATAGACAATGCAGGACATTAACTGAAGAGCAAAATCAATCTTGCAAATCATTTTTTCTTATCTTGTTCATCGCATATTGCATAATTATTCGTCCCTGTTTTCACGAAGTGACGGTAGTGAGGAAAATCGTAACGCAAAGTGTATGCGATTTTCATTCACTACCGTCACTTCGTGAAAATAGGGACGAAATTTTACTTTATAAGCGAAGCGTCTGTCAGTCTAATTTCAGTACATAGAAGATTAAATAATTCTCGAGTATTTATAAAGTAGAGTAAAGAGAAATTGAAAATTAATTTCAATTGAAGTGAAGTGAAGATGATTGCACCAAGAACACTCATACAGCCCTGGGGCCGCATAATTACAGCAGAATACGACGGAAACTTTGTTTGGACATAAGTTTTCGTACCCTGTAATTTCCTGACCCAGCAGGCACGGTGAACGTTTGGCGATGCCAGTAGTTTCCGTGGTCGCCCGTCACCATCGTATTCGGCGTCGACGGCAAGGCGGAGGATTCACGCTTGACGTAGACGTTGAGGGTTTCGACATCCCTTCCCCACATGTGAAACCAGAACTCTACACATGACGAGGCCGAGTTCGAGGCCGTGGCGACAGGCGACATGATGCGAGCGACGTCGTCCGAATCGATAAAGGTCGAACTCGAGATGTACAAGAAAAATCCTGCAAATTTAGTCAGAAATACGATCATCATTATGATTATAATCATTAGACTCATTATCGTCGCCATCGTCGTCACCCTCATCATTGTTGTTATCATTATTACTATAGGGTATCGTCATCATAATCATCCTAATTATCATCATCGTCATCAATATCGTCATCACCACCACCAACACAACCACTACCATTCTCCTCACCATCCTCGGCATCACATCTACCAGCATCCTTCTCCTCCCTCCGACTCTTCCCCCTCACCATCATCATCATCATCATCGTCACCATCATCATCACCACGACCATCACGATCACCACTTCCGCCCTTCTCCTTCTCCTCTTCATCATCGTCATCATCATCATCATCACCTTGACCACCCACCCAATTCATCTCCTCGAGTGTGATCGCCATCTGGGCCGGTGTAATCGTCCTTGGTGCCCCTGTTTTTCCACTCCCAATCGATGGTATCCGTTTCATCTTGGACATAATAGCACAGCTCCACCTCCTCAAAGCTACAAGAGACACTACTCTCATTCTTGACAATATCTGTACAAGCAAAGACAACAAATCAAAATACAGTCAAACCTGCTTTACCGGCCACCTGTCTACAAAGACCACATTGTGGGTATCCCTTAAAAATGTTTTCTCATTGAAACATGTGCTAAAGGAACCTGTACATAAAGACCACCTGCTTACAAAGACCACTTTTCTTGTCTCCCTTGGGTGGTCTTTTTAGACAGGTTTCACTGTGCCAGCATTAATTACCTTATATTTTCTACCAAAATGTTTTTTAAAAATTATTACCAGCCGTACACATTCAGAGTAAAATCCATGTTTACTATGAAATCATTATTTTCCATCATATCATGAACTCAAGATTACCTGTCACAGATTATTTGTTGGTTATATTATAGATGTATGTCCCCAAATATTGGAAAGACACTAGATGATTTTCAAGATGCCATTGTGTCATTTTGTTTAGAGTGGATATAGACAAATTAAATTGTATTATTATTTCCTTATTTTCTACCGCCCTTCTGGCAATGTGAGGAAACAATGACGAAGGCATCTATTCTTTTTCGAAAAACGTTTCTCCATTGTATGCTCTTTCTTAATAGTAACCTTATCGACTAGGCACTATAATTATTTTACTTAATTTAAATGAAAACGAAGCCGGGTAGACAGTAGCTATGTTTACTGAGCGGGTGCCAAATATTTTCAATATCAACAGTTCTTTTTATGATTAGGACCTTGTGACAACTATCAACATAACCTTTAGCATACAACAATGAATTGAGAAGCTGCCATATACTTATATTTATGATATGGGTGTAACCAGAGAGTTTTTAATATCTTAAATTCGGGAGGGGGAGGGCGGATAAGGCATTTTTAAAATGGAAACAATGAAACAAAAAGAAGAAATCAACTGGGAGGTGGGGGGGGGGGCGGCAATCGATAATGTATAACTAAATGAGGCGACTTTGCATTTATCATATCCTAAATGTGCGTTTGTAAGATTCTTAATTTTTCCCTTTTTTAATCACATTGTCTACCTTCTAGCCAGAATCAAGGTACATTATATACTACATAATGAGACATTTATAATAGCTGGACTTGGAACATTAGACTCTTACTACATTCAAAACATAGGCCTACCATATATATTATAACAATAATTAATGACATTGCAACTCGTCAACTTCACAATGTTCACAAAAACGAAAATGTGTTGCAATTTATTTTTTGGGCAATTGATTTCATAGTAACGCTATTCCTTTTTGTTATCCTGAGTGTTCAAAAATGGATTCGTACTAATATGTGTATCTCTTTTTCATCGACGTGGTGTCTGACGCTTGTTGCACACGAACCGTCATTTTTGACTTCGTTATTAACTACGCTACTTGAATCTGTGAAGGCATAATTCAGTCAATAGGGCTTTATTCAAAGTATTGTTTGCACTACTTATTTTGCATGCTGTGTTCTCAAATGTCGTGTCAACGACCGCGTCATTGGCTAACGCTGTCCTATACGTCAGTCAATTGCAATGACGTTTCGTGTGAGGTGGGCATTAAACGACCTTCTTCTTTGCAATAATCGTCACGTGGCTCAACTCCTTCCATGTATACTTACGATGACCGGGGCAGCCGTAACTCGTGATCAAGATATCGTCGAGTGCAATATCTCCTTTGTATGAGGAGCCCCGTATCCCTTCAAATATGATCTGTTTGACAAAAAGACAATTATTACAGAAATGCAAAAATTATTCTCATTGTTGATGTATATGCTTACGAACATATCATCAGTCTTTAAGAATAATAATTAATAAAGTAATTTACAACATAATACAAGAGTCTATAGAACAAAAATAGGATACATGTCGATCTACACAGAAGCCATGTACATGTTGTTGACTGCGTATACAGTTGTTTCAAAGTGTTTTCGGTTTATATTTGAAAAACGCCCCAGAGCAAAGGACACGAAAAGGTTTAACAAGATTTAAAACAAAACAAAACAAAAAAGGTGAAAAAAGTGAAATGTAAAAAAAGGTGGAGAAAACTAAAAAAAATGAAAGAGGATAAGGAAGAAGGAGAAGGAGCTTGAGCAATACAGTTCTGAGAGAAAATATAAACGTTATCTATTAAAAATGAACAATATTGTCACAACCGTTTCGTCAAAAAAATACAGGAAAAAGTTATTTCAACTTTATGGACAACAGTTTATGTAAAAGTATATTCGATGACGATAGATAATGAAATAGATACCGTGAAATCTTCAGGGGTGTTTATTTCCGCTTCGGCCCCTCTCCATACGTCGCCCCTATTACCGGCCAGCGACCAGATCGGTGAGCCCATATTCAAAGAGCTGCTATTACGGAGATAAACGTTCAGCTCGCCTATATTTGACCCATACATGTGATACCAAAAGACCACGCAGAACGTCTCGGAATCGTCCCCCTGGACGCCCCGGAAGGTGGGGGATATGAGCCGTGCAATGTGGCCCTTGTTCGGCCCTGTGGCTTCTGTGTACGTATAGTAGCCTAAAAAATATGTATATAAATAATGGTATTAATAATGATAATAATACTAACAATACTACTGCTAATAATAATGGTAATAATAACAATAATAATACTAATACTAGTAACTGTTATGATAGTGCTAATGATGATGATAATAATAACAACACCAACACTAAAAATACTACTTCTACTACTACTAATACTACTACTAATACTACTTCTACTACTACTACTACGACTACTACTACTACTACCGCCACCACCACTACTACTACTACTACTACTACTACTTATACTACTACTACTACAACTACTATTAATAACTAATAATGATAAGAAGAAGGAGATAAAGAAAATAAAATCATATGATGGAATTGAATAAATAAAACAGAATAACAATGAAAATAGAGAGAAGAGTACACGAAGACTAGGAGAAGGGGCGTCTGTCTATGCTTTAGAGGGGGGGGGGGGGGGGGGGAAAGAGGGGTCACAAATGATAATTGCATTGCCACTCGGGAGCGGTGGAATGATTTGCAAGACTGAGGACTGAAGACTTGTATTGTTTTTTTTATTGGGGGGGGGGGGCGGCTTAAAATAGTAGTCGTTGATAATTTTTCGTAAAAACATTCATTCGCAAATTGAAAAGTTACTTTTCAATGAAGGAGAGGGGGAAAGGAAAGTGAAAGAATAATAGGTTCTCACTCGTACCCTCCCCTAATCGGTATAGTCTAATAATTTCAAATTTCATCCACTTGTTAAATCAGTGCCCCTTCCAATTTACTCCTCCATATTTGTATTATTATGTATCCATTGAGGGTAGTCATACTATCAAGCTTTGCTTACTTTGTCAACCCTCCTGTTTGATGTTAGTTACAGCCATCCTTACTTTATTCTACATATATTCTTTTGTCACGTGTAAATTTACAATGTTTGTTATATATTTGTAAAAAATGCAAAAGAAAAAGAAAATCAAACAGAAATAAGTAAATCAAATCAAATCAGATCAAGTAGAGAAAAAAACATAGTGTTTCTGTCCAAATGGAAACGTGTTCTTCAGCACTTTCCTGACCTCAATGGATTGGCCTAGTTCACGTTATTGCCACCCCAACACACATAATGGTATTACTGCAGAGTGATAAACTACCAGAACAGTGGGTTCGGCAAACATTAATATTTGATTTGATTATAACTCTTACGAAGCTTGTGTATATAAATACGAGGTTTACCTCCCCATAAATTTCTGGGATTATTCAACCTACCAAACTTTTCTACAAGGTAAATATTTGTGAGAGCCTTTTTATTTCAGTGAATATTTGACATACAATAGTCCTAATGGAAATACATAAACGTATGGCCAATAAAGATATCGAGGCACTCGTTTAATTGTTATTCGTGACAGCGGTGACACCACCTAATAAGCATCGTCTTTGCGATGATAAAAAGATAGCCCCTCGTGACATGTATGAAAAGTGACAATGGGAAGGTTTCTTTTGAACTTTTCCCCAGAAGTGAGAGGTCGTTCACAATACTTACAGAAATATTGACTGAAGTTTTGCAAAGAAAATATATACGTTTCTTGATTTTAGAGCGAAGTGTGAGATCTTCCTTGAATCATTCTTCTCCCTCATGCTGCGTTATATCAAGACGATCGGTTTTAATTACAAGCCCTATACAATGTCATGTCACATGACAAGAATTGGAACTTTAGAAGGTAGATTATTAGGCCTAGTTGGAAAACATCCTAAATAAAACCTTAGACCCGGATTCTACTAAAGTTTAAAACCGACGTTGGGTTAAGCCTTTTATCCAAAGATAAAGTTGAGTTCTGGTCATGCGATTGCATTGTGAAAGAAACGTTGTGGAATCGATCAGAAAACGTTGATTATCTAGCATATAAGTATTGGTGTGTACTGCAAGGTTCTGGAATTATCAAAATGATAAGAAATCTGGCCCAGTCTTGGTAAAGTTACAAGCACTGTACACAGAAAGATGTACTACACGAACATGTGGCATAAAAATCCGCCCCGATTGTTATGATGTTACATGTCATATTTAGAATATTAAGGCATTTAAAGAGCCATGCTTTTCAGGGAACATTTTCTATCTGATGTTTCTTCCACACATGCATAATACAATGATAACGCTCACAAATATTTGTTCATCTCTTCCCAGAACTCAACCTTTTTCTGAGGTCCATATTACTCTGTTGTGAATAAAGACATTAAGATTTTGAACATCTGTACTCATTCAAATTATACAAGGAATACACACGAGGCCTGGTATAACTTATATATTCCGAACTCTGAAAACATAAAGGGCATTTTGGGCCGCCCACTGTTGAACAACAACAGCGAAAATGTAGGAAGAATAATGTTATTACAAAACCATGGTAACGGGTCGTACCTTCCTCAGTGCCAGTGGTGTGGTCAACGGAAGGCCCCGTATCCGAAGTGAAAGTATTTCCTTTCGAACGGGTAAAGTCAAAATCGTCGGTTTTATCCTGTTCGAATCCACACTCCCCACTCTCAAAAGTACAGTTCAGGAAATCTGTTGAAAATAATTAAGATGTGGTTACCATCAAATAACCATCTTGATCATACTTGCATAATGACTAGCCCAGGACAAACACTAAATTACATTTAAACGCAGAGCATTACAAACTTGTTGAAAATACAGCACGACAAAGATAGATCGGTTTCAAGAAACAATAAATACCTAATTAGAATTTGAATTACATAAGTGACAACGTTATAGCTCAAACATTATTAATCCTTGTATCGGAACGATTTTTAGCAGCCGCTGAACCTACTAAACCATTTGATGTACATCATAACAGTATCATCTTTTTATATGATGCAATTACTCAATATTGTAACCAAAAGGATGTTTTCACTAGATTCCTTCACATTTTACCTCCAATTTTTGTTTTATATACCTCAATGGTCTGTTTGATCTACTAGTATGTCTTTTCTTATCATTAGATGTACATGTATGTTACAATCTTCTGCATTTGTATCCTACATTATGATAAATGATTTCATTTTATAAAATGATGATGATGTGAAATATGAAAACCTAAACTAGAGTAAAGTGAAGTGAAACCTTAACTATAAATAAAACTTTGTTGCACTCTCTTAAACCTTAATAAAATCTTTATTTTAAATTTTCCGCCAAAGGACAGAAGGATTTATCACTAAAAAGGGATACAAAAATTATAGAAATGCACCTTGTCAGGTTCAATATTGGTTTCAATACAGGTTCTGATTTTAGTGTTGGTTTATGATTCCCGGTTAGATCAATCAATGCGTTTTTATTATTATGATACTACCATTATTCTCATCACCAGTAATAGTTATAATAGTGATGATAATGTTTCTAAACCACAACGTACAGCGACTACTTCCATAACATTACAAACCGATGTCGTACAGATAATTCAACTTACCGATGGGGCAAAGTCCGTTTGAGTTTATCACGTTGATATCGTCGATTGCGATGTCGGAATACTTTCCATTCCCTATCTCTGCTTCAAAAACCAACTAAGAAGAAATTACAAAGTAGATTGTGTTTGTTTGTTTCATTAAAAGAAACAGATTACAAAAAAAAAAGAATAGAGTGGTATTTGAATACGTTAGGCCTTAGAATGCCCTGTAATGTACTCTAAAATCATTGCAATGTACACATTTAATCATCAAAATAATGCGATTATGCTATTTTGACTTATGGTTTTATTTGATAGTTTGACCGCCAGTTAAAGATTGCCACAGAAATAATACTGGGAAGAGAGAGTGTTGCATACGATGTGGGGTATTATGACGTCAGAAGCGAAGTTTTGGTTATTTTGGGTTTAGCCATAGAGGGCAGTTGCGAATTTGTTTGGGAAACTAAAACACGTTGTTGCAGTTAGTTATCGGCACTGAAAGTGCACCATTTTTTGGTATTTTGACACAAGCCCAATGTTGTGAGTATTTATTTACCTCTGTTTATTGAAATATGATGACTATTGTTGTGTTTGATGCTATTGGTGATAAAAATGAAGAAATGCAAATAGTGTAAATTTAAGTAAGAAAATTGTTACTCACGTACGTAAATTTACGTTGTGTGTGGGCATGCAGTTGTGTATAAAGTCATTGGGTTAGAATTAATTTCGGTAAACGTAAAGAAGACAGATATGAATATGACAGAAAAGTTGTATTATTATTAGTTTCAGTGGATTATGTTAGAAATGTATGTACAGTATAAGCTGTCCAATATTCAGTTGGTTTTTTTGGATTAGTATGAAAGACAAAATGTTCTATAAAGAGTAGTTGACAGAAAGTAGGTCAGGTATGCCAGGGGTCATTATAGATTGGTAGTCTTTCGTGCAGCCTGTTATTAAGATTTAGGTTACCACTAAATGATATGTTGGGCCTATTATGCTTTGGTAATTAATAGTGAGTCAATAGGTTGTATCAAAGGAGCTATGAACTCATCTTAGCAGAAATATGTAAAGATATTTCCTAACTCATATTATGCCATTTATTTACAGTTATTTACAAACCTGTTTATTATTTGACTGGATAAGATAAACAAATGTTGGATAGATTATTTGATTGTCATATCAGCTATGCTAAGTAGCATATTGGATGCATTATTCTAGTAATGCTTATGATTGTGTTTTTTATCTTTTATTAAAGGTTGAACCTTGCACCTGCCAGTTTGGAGTCTTGGTATCACAAAAGGGTGTCGCTGTGTTATTCATTCGTCAATGGTGTCTTTTGGTTAAGTGAATTAATCGTCAATCACAGAGAGAAAGAGGGAAAGAATGTAAAATGGGTTATTTGTGAAAATGAGAGAAGGGGAGGGAGTGAGTGAGAAGAGGAGAAGGTGGAATAGAGGAAGATCGAAGAAGAGAGAGAGAGAAAGAGAGAGAAAGAGAGAGATATATTAAATCTCTTTCTCTCTCTCTCTTTCCCTCTATCTTTTTTCTAGACAAAAGCCAGGGGTAGAAAATGAGAGGAGAGAGGAGAAAATGGTAATTATCTATTTCTCGTGATACCTGAACAGTGTTGGTGTTATTTTGAACACTTGCAAGTCCTCTATACCAGCCGCTTCCACGGTCACCTGACAGAGACCATACCGGATCACCCAAACCCGAGGAGGTGCTGTCTTTGACATACACTCTGAAGGGAAAACAACAACAAATCAGCATGATAAACAGTCACGAAAGAGCGCTAAAAAACGTAGATGATAGTGAAGAGAGAGAGAGAGAGAGAGAGAGAGAGAGAGAGAGTTTATAAACTATATTTCTTGCATTGAACTAATTGAAAACAATGCCCGTTACACATGGGGCGTCATTTCGATTGCCTTGTTACCTTATCAATTAAAGTCTATAAATACAATAAGTCAAAACAAAGGAATTTACTAAAACTTTTTTTAAAACCACTCTGTGGGAAACATATATGGCTCGTCCAAGGCCGCGTCAATCGCTGACGCATTAATGCGTCAGGAAATGGCGCCCCGTGCGCAATGGTCTCTGTTGACTACAAACCTGAGCGACCCCATTGTGTCACCGTACAAATAATAATAGAACTCGACACACTGCGGTTGATCAGCGTCCTCTGCGGCGCCAGTCAGGCGAGCTTTGTCGCCGCTTGACTGGGGATTGGAGGATTCTGCATACAAGTAGTATCCTTTTTGAAGAAAAAGAATAAGATTTAAAAAAAAAACAGAAACAAAAATCATGATATGGAGAGAGAGAAAGGAAATGCGATTGCGTATATAGAACGAGACATACATATAGAAGGAGAGAGAGGAAGAGAGAGGCTATGCGACAGAGAAAGAGGGACAGGGAAATACTTTGTGGCACAGATTTTTTTTTAAAGGGGGGGGGGGGGAGAGTAAAGAGAGAGAGAGAGAGAGAGAGAGAGAGAGAGAGATGAAGAGGGATAGGAAAAAGAAAACCAATTTCTTTAAAGAAAAAGAACCACTGAATATGTGATACATAATGTATATAATTTAAATAAAAATACACATTTCCCCCGTTTTTAATTGTGATGCGTTGCTAATTTTTAGCCTGACCATTTCAAAAAACAATATTATAACATTAATGATAATACTGAGGATCTATAAAGTGCCATTCCATTACGTAAATACTCAATGTGGTGGAAAATTAACCCCATGAACAGCATAATTATGTATTAATCATTTCAGCCTTCAAGAACTCGACCATAATTATGCTACTTCTTTATAATTATGAGCTCGACACTGCACCAATGTTTAACACCGCTTTCTTTGTTCAACTTTAACTGTAGCCCGTACGTGTAACTGAATTCAAATTTGTTTAATTCCACATCTCCATTAAAACCACCCCAGAACATACAAAGCACGACAAAGTATATGTAAAAAACGATAACATGGTCAAAGAAAAAAAGAAAAAAAAAAAGAAGAAGCGATAAACGTAAATCAGATGGGATCATTAACAAAAATTGGTATAATTGTAAAACATGATTTGAATAACATGAAAACACAACATACCAAGCACCGGGTTTAAATAATAATTACAAAAATAATAGGCGAAGAGAATGATGAGTGATGTGAAAATAAACAAGAACAGAGGAATTAAAAGGGTATGATAGAGGAACAGGTCCTTACCCTGTGTAGTCCCATGGGTGTGGTCTACAACTGGTCCAGTATCACTGGTCTCAGTACTGCCCTGGGACCTGGCCCAATCGAAGTCATCTCCCCTGTCCTGTGTGTAGCTGCACAGGCCTTGCTCGAAATTGCAACTAAATGCTCCGAGCGTTTGTCCTGTCAGAAAACAGAAGAGAGGGTGCATGTTAGGGCCTACTGCTTGTCTTAAAATGTACACAAATATACACTCTCGGCGTCTTTAAGATGCATTTCTTATACGATCGAACGTGAGAACTGATTGTTTTAATATAGCCGGGAACAATGGTGAAGTGATGACTACACCGCTATCTTCATTACATGTTACGATATATAATTACATTATACAAGCGTGACACTTACATTACTGCACTACACCAACCAGGCGCGTACGCAGGGGGGGGGGGGGGGGGGGGGGGGGGGTTTGGGGGGTTAAACCCCCCCCTTTGGAAATTTTTTGTGTGTAAACCCCCTAAAAAAAACCTAAAACCCCCCCTTTTGGATTTTTTTTTTTTTTTTTTTTTTTTTTTTTTAAATTATTAAAAAAAAAAAAAAAAAAAAAAATATTCCCATGGCCGACCTAAAAAAGGTGACCTTACCCCCCCCAACGGAGCAAAATGTCAAATTTCCAAATTTCGAGACCAAAAAAAAAAAAAAAAAAGTGTCCTCTTAACCCCCCCCCCCCCCCCCCCCCCCCCCCCCCCCCCCCCCCCCCCCCCCCCCGCTTATTCAGCGGTCGGCTGAGTCGTTGCGATTTTTTTTGGGACCAAAAAAAAAAAAAAAAATGTGTCCTCTTACCCCCCCCCCCCGCTTATTCAGCGGCTGGCTGAGTCGTTGCGAAATTTTCGGACCGATTTATAAATGTTAAAACCCCCCCCTTGAAAAAATCCTGCGTACGCGCCTGACACCAACTAACATTACCACTACACGACATTACAATACACCATCATGACTAAATCCCCATCCCGATTACATTAGATATGTAATACCTGACTCTCAACTTCAAACCGACTCCCAACCGACCGATTTCTGGTGTTAGTCTTGTTGATATGACTGGGATACAGTCGTATGATTATGCAAGACGGGTGAACACTTTATGAATTACTTTTGGTTCCGGAAAAACAACACAGGGAGAAGGAAAACAATAATTCCCAAAGGAATTTCCAAACCAAACCAAATAAGAAATCAGAAAAAGATCATTGTGACATGTTGACAAAAAATAGTTACGAGCTAGCCATTAATAAAGGGCGACTGCAACCCAATATAGATCAAGATGGATTCAGACATACTAACTGAGTACTAAGTGCTCTCGAAGCTTCTCGAAGCTCTTGAGTTCATAATTACTAAATCGTACAAGCTCTTTCACTTTCAAGGTGCACTTGAAGGGACATCGCAGATGACACTCATTCTCAATTTACGGATCTTAAATATCAATAAATTACAACAACCAAACACATAATTCATTTGTAATTCTATAATGGACAAATATTGAAATATACAGATTTCTATGAAACGCTTAATCATTTATATTTCCAGGGAAAGTATTGTAAGTGATATTTCATTCCAAGTTCACAGTAACTTCTGAAAACAATTGATATTGCTAGATGGATAATGCTAAATTTAATATTTCTGTTAAAGGTACCATACAAGTGAAACTCGAAATGACAAAGGAGGGGTATAACTCACCTGGAACAGACAGTATACAAATGAATACGATGAGCGAAGAAACAAATATCAAATTCGCCATTTTGGTGTCTTTGAAGAAAATATTCGATCCCTTTCTCTCTGAAGAAAGAGAGCCTAATAACTCCCCCAAAGATTTGTAATTTAGCCTCTTTGCCATAAAAGTCAACAATAGGTATATAATAAAACTTATGTATGCATATTGGATAATAGATATTTCAATTTGAATACCCAGAACTTATTTATTGAGTGCTTTTTGTTCCGTCGGTAATAAATAGGGGCGGATTCAAGTGGCGTATTCAGAAATTGGTAACAACAAGGGAAGGGCGGGGGGGGGGGGGGATTCCTTCCACAGGGGGAGAGATGACGTGGATCAACATGATATAGTCGGGGGGCCCCAAGTGTTATAAACACAACACAACATCGTTATATATGTTTGGAAATAATTATCTTGTATTCGAGCGTGAATAGGTGTGTATGCAGTCTCCACTTAACTCCCGTTAACGCCAATTAGCTGGGACTAAATATTCGAACGTGACCCTTTGTAATTACGGTCAACTTTTGATCAAGTAAATACTTACATAACCCAAATTCGACCATCCCTTCATAAGAGAAAGAGGGAGAGAGAGGGGGGGGGGGGGGGGGGGAGATCGAGAGGTGGAGGATGATCTCAGTGTACCTCTTATCTGCACTTTACCGTATAAATGTTAATATAGAAGAAAGTGTTCCATTAGTTTGATAGCATTCATTAATTCGACTATCTATACATATCAACCTAGAAATAAAGATTTATTCTAGCGAATACTTATAGTACCGAACACATGGCGAAAAAAAAGCAGATATGGAGACGCTTTACGGTGCCCCTTTAAATTTATTTACATAGGGTGAATATGCTTTTAGAAACCTTTATTACTTCATTGCATATCAGTAAACCTTACGCTTAAAATCTTTTGTATTCTTTCACTTTTTAGTTATGTTCCATTTCTCATACATGTACCAGCTTGTTACAATAACGATTGGGTGGAAACCCCACTTTAATAGCTTTATGAATTTATAGCAACGTGTTCAAATTCTTAAACAATGCAAGACGATCGACGAGAGCAATAAAGACATATTATTGGCAAACAACCGATCCTGCCAATTGTTTCCTTTTTGAAGGTGACTTTTCGGGTCCGGATGGCAGAAAAGGTCGAAAGAAAGGTAGAAAGAAAGAAAGAGAGAGAGAGAGAGAAAGAAAGAAAGAAAGAAAGAAAGAAAGAGAGAAAGAAAGAAAGAAATAAAGAAAAAAAAGAAACAAAAGACAAAAGAAAGAAAGAAAGAGAGAAAGAAAGAGAGAGAGAGAGAGAGTAAGAAAGAAAGACAGACAGAAAAAAAAAGAACAAATGAATGAAAGAAAGAAAAGAAAGAATGAAGAAAATTAGATTTCGTTTTGAAAAATTGTTAAATATAATTATATCTATGGTTTCATATTCTTCCATGTTCATCAGAATATAAGTACCATGCACTATATAAACACTTTGACAACGTTTCCCTACAAATCTTAATGTCACACAATTAATTAATTAATTAATTTAAAAAAGAAGAAGATATTCAAAATTTACTTATCGGCGTTATACATGTAGCTCAACTCTGTTTATAATAAAAAACAAACAAAAAACAATTAACGCATATGTTCCATACGCGCAGAGGTTCATAGCATCCAACTAATAATAAGTAATACATGAAGTAAACTGCTATGTGACTGGTACAAGTTGCATTTGGGTCAAATTTGCGAGATTCTTTCAGCTACCAATCGAAGAAAGTAAGCCGGTTAAAACTTCATGTCATAAACCTGATATCGTATACCGAAAATAAGGCGACGATTCGTCCTTTCGATCTTAATATCCTTTATCTCAATTGACTGGTAGGATCGAATTCAATGAGGTTTTATGATCTTCCCCCATGATACAGAAGTGTAGGATAATACCCAACGGTCGCGTCCAACATCTAAAGATACCTGGAAGCCGTCATTCTCACACACGAGACCGACACCGGATTTCTACCCTAATCTGTTCTTTCTCTACAGATATTGCATGCTAAAAGGATTGTGTTCAGGTATCAATTTAGAACTAAATACGGGAATTATCAAAGTATGACAAAACAAAACCACTTACAGATCAAAGTTTATATAGGAATCATCTGTAAGTTATATCAGGTGAGAACTTATCAATTCATTTTATTCATTCATTTATGTTATTAAATTATTCATGTCATTGATTAAATCAAACGATTCCCGTAAAGTCCTGAAAAATTAATTTAAAAAAGAAGAAGATTACAAAGCAAAAAGTATGAACTCGTTCTCTCTCTCTCTTCTCTCTCTCTCTCTCTCTCTTGTATGATCCTTACAAGTCACAACTCAATATGCGTATTACATTTTAATAGACTATCCATCTTTGCATTTCTTTATCTACATGTATCTATTTACCATTGTCAGTAAATATTGTTCATGTCAACAGAATCTGATAATGTCAACACATAAAAACTGTCGGAACAAGTTACAAAAGACTAAGGGGCTGCTTTTTTTCATTTCATACATTCTATATCCACCGATACTTTTGTAAACACATAATCGGATGGGACTCATTTTAAGACGTTCTTAACCTATTTTTAGTATTTTTCTAGAGAAATGATATTAATTTGTCAAAAATGTCAGCATCTGATTGATCTGAAAATATCCCCCCATATTTCTACAGGTCACCCCCTCCTTCAAAAGTGTGGGGGATTTATATTGTCATTACCGGATGTGCATCTTACCCGTCTAACAATAATCTCGTAAAAAATTGATACATAATTTTACGAAATGTTGTCATATGAACGATACCCCTTTATGTGCTATGCTTCCACGAATTCAATGCATTGATTTGCAATTTACTTAATTGGCCATTGACTAATGAAAGTGATACCAAGAAGAACAATTAGTCAACGGTCAAATCAAGAGTTTTACATCTGCTAGTGTAACAAATCACAACTGGATACAAGACTCATGTAGTAGAGGATATTTTGATCAGAATGATCCTTGAGCACTACTAATTAGTAGGAATTTTTTACTTCCGGTATTAACCTGTAGCTATTATGAGAACGTCATTAGAAACTGATAGTAATAGTCATGCAGCTAAGATTAGATGCTTAGAATACCTTTCTTTTCTTCACACATGTTTCCTTCTCTCGAGAGAGCAAAAGAGAGAGAGAGAGAGAGAGAGAGAGAGAGAGAGAGAGGGAGGGAGGGAGAGAGAGAGAGAGAGAGAGAGAGAACGAGGATGCGAGAGAAGGGGTGGGGGTGGGGGAAGGCTGATCACCGAATAACCAAGTAATATTGATGGAGTGAAGTTGTCGGATTTCTACCGACGCCCCTGATAAAATACACACTATGAACAATTTGCTGTTTGCATCAAAACACTTAAACCATAAGAAGGTGTTAATGTTTTGCTCTCAAGTGCAGTCCCGCTTATGTATAAGATCGAATGCTTGAAGATAAAACGGTTTGACGTAGTAATGAAAGCAGTTAGATTTGTTCATACATCTTTTTTTAGGATGTAAGACGAATATCCCTTGCATTTTTTTCATAGAGCGACATCTGGTATAAGAAAACAGAAAAGATAATGCTTATCTTTGGAAGGAATTTCTTTCCCGCAAAGCGATACGAAGTGCATCAAAATAGAAGAGCATGTACTTTTCGTAAATACAACCACTAGTATTGTAAGGTTTCGTAATGATCAAATTACTTTCAGTTATGTGTGAGGACGCGCGTATAAAATGAAATATATCATATTTCATTTTATACGCGCGTCCTCACACGTAACTGAAAGTAATTTGATCATTACGAAACCTTACAATACTAGTGGTTGTATTTACGAAAAGATTGATTTACTCGAAGCGACAGCAGTGAATTCCCATTTTGATGCTTCTACGATATTCAATGTCTTTTCGTCGGTTGTATTTAAGGCCGCCAGATGTATAAAAAAGGATTGAAGGCACTACCACGGCAATTATGAGTCCATCAACATATTCAATGAAATTTGTCTTTGTATGTGTATTCATCTGCAATGGATCACCTGTCTGTAAGTATGTTTTGCTCAATAAGTGTATCTGATAGTAAAACAATATCGTTCCTGTTCTTTGCGATGCATTCTCTTTAGGAATATATGTAATATATATATAGTTGTATTCTTGATTTATAGAACTGTCATGCTTTTATTACATTTATCAAGTGGGTTGGCGAATATGCTCGCCCTTTTTTCTCATCCTGACATTATTGTACTTTAAAAAGAATATTATATATACATATTTTTCAAACATAAAACGAACCATGTTCTTCTTGTATAATCACTGATTTACCGATTATGATATATGTTCATAGTTCATAGTTCATTTTATTTCTGCTTTCACAAACATTTGTACATAGAATTTCAAATAAAGTAACTGGAACAGCAGATTATCAGTATAACAAACATAATTTGAAGCGCAATAGTAACGTTCAACATACAACTCTTGTTATTAACTAAAGAAATTCTATACAAAAGTTACTTATGTAAGATCATGTGCTGTACATGAAAGAAAGAGGAGACCTTATAGAAGCTGGGCTTGTTAGAGCAAGGTCTCCAAACAGAATATAATACCGGAATGATTTAATTTCTTTGACTAAAAAAACAACTAAACTACCTTTAATAACAGACTAGAAGCAATTACACATGGGAAATATTTACAAAAGAGATAGATTGATGTATTATGAAAAGTTATGTAATTCCTGATCTTTAATTTGTGCTCTTTCCAGATTCGGGCATTGTCGACCACGGTCGAACGTTTATCTTCGCTATCCCACAATTCTACAATAATCCGGAAGGACTTATTGCGACTCTCACCGTACTAGGCAGGTCACATAATACATCTCAGGTCAAAGTCAATATCAAGGAAATCAATTTTGCAGAATTCAGAGTAGTTTCTAACCAGGAGGCTTCCCTCATTGATCTACCGCGGTTAGCGGTAGCAGACGTCGGAAACGGCCATGCTATGACGATTACAGTGTCCTCTTCAAATGATATATCCGTGCGATGCACTGTGGGATACGAATATGCCGGAAGCTTTCCCGGTGAGGGCTTCTTGGTCCTTCCAATAGCATCTCTCGATAGGGAATATTTCATCGTAACTGCGCCACCACTTGGAGAACGCCTAGATCAATACAAGGGCAAAACACATCATGCCCTTTTCACCATATCTGCAGCGTATGACAACACGGCTATTACTATCGAACCTATGGTGCCGTTGAATGTGTTCCAGCAGTTCTTCACTCCACCGGAAGTTATTAAGATGACATTGAACAATCACAAGAGCATTCTTGTGAGCAGCTCAAGAAACCTCAGCAGAACACGTGTTACTGCCACCAGACCCATTGCAGTGGTCAGCGGGAATACATGTGGTATTATCCCTGGGATTCAGGCCTCTTCCAGTTCTTGCTACTTTATGGTCGAACAACTGCTGCCAACGTCTTCATGGGGTGTTGAATTTGAAGTAAGTCCCTTTCAGGCTGAAACGACTAGTCATGTGTTACACTTCACCGTCCTAGACGAATATACGCAAGTGATCATCCATGATGACATTAAACGAGTGCTCATTCCTGACAACTTCACGAGCTTCATCCAACATCTGTCTGGTTCTCATGTCGTACACGTTACGTCAAACCTGCCTATCATGGTTGTACACTTCATTGAGAAGGAGATGCCTTTGGGGACGTCAGGAGCAATGACAATCGTCCCATCGGTTAAGGAGTTTGTCCGAAGAGCAGTGGTAGCGATGCCTGTCCCTCGGAGACACTTCCCATCGAACGAATCTGGTCGTGCCGATTTTTCGCTTTGCATTATCGTCAACTGTTCACTAATGGACACCATTCGCCTCAACGGCAATCTCCTAAACCTGCAGTCTGCAACAGTTCATCTACTTCGCGGACATTTTTGTTCCATCGATTGCCGCATCTACGCAGGTAGCAGAAAAACGGTCACCATCTCGAGTTCGTCACCGTTGACCCGCATGTCCGTCACCGCAAAGAACTACGACAGCGGTTTTTTAGACTTCGTCTATCTTGCCTCATTGGGAAATGGAAAGCACGTCTCTGATGGCGACGATGATAGTGGAAGACCAACACTACCTGATTTAGATACAGATAGGGAAGATTCTGGAAAAAACCCATCGGAGATCTTTCGATTTCTATGGTATGTCTGTTTGGGAGGTGCTGGATTGATCTGCTTAGTTGCAATGCTAGTGGTTGCGTCGAAAAAATGGTAAGTTTCCCATTATAGTTTTCTAACATTAATATCTACTCGACACTCAAGGTAAATCATTCCACATATCCGATTATAAACTTATACCATCATAGCAGTATAATGTGAAAATCGATTGATATCGGATCATCTAGCATGTTCTTCTTTTTGAGGGTTGTGGTCAGCACATGCTCTTGTAAAGCAAAATTGAGCTTGAATAATCAAGTAAGTACTTCAATCTCTAAATTCCAAAGGTTAACCAGAAAGTACTGGTTTGTAATGTAATGTTTCATAATAAAAATGAAAAGCGATCTAGATATTATTGAACAATCTACATTAAATTAACCGCTAGAAACAAAGACAGACTACAAGTTCTTCCTTAGACTATCTTTTACAAAATCAAGATAGCAATAGTCATTCGCTCTTTGACTTTATTTGAGAGCCGACGCTATATCTTTATGACTTTATCTTTTCATTGTTTGACTAGGACAATGTGCAAAAGAACACAGGTAAACATAAATGAATGGAAAGGTTATTTAAAGAACCGAATTTCAATTTTACATTAATGTGTTGGAAGGTTGGTATTAAAATAGCAAATTTATTTATTATTTCTCGTTTGAATCAGTAAATCCCTGACTAGATCCTCGCAGAGAACCTCCATGGTCAGGTGCCATGGTCCTATGTCACCGGGAACAGCCACATCCGTCACAGACTACGAGGACTTCAGGCTTGATCAACTCTCGTTCCACCGATGTCCATCATCCTTGTGCTCAAGCATGTGCGAAACGAACGACAGTGCGTCTCCGTCTCATTATCAGTCGTTGCCGGTAGTAAGCCCACTTACCTTTAATCAGATCAACCATGTCACAGGGCCCAAAGTCGACGACACTGTCGATGACACCTTAACAAAGATGATATAGATTTCTAGTCCAGAGGATTGACACCGTGATAGGCCAGGGAAGTGTTTCACAAAGACTAATATCGACTTAAGTTGGAAGTGAACTACAGCAGGCCGTTCATGCAAATCGTTCGTCTAACCATTCCTGGCATTAGTTTATCAAGGAACGTACAAGTCATGGTCACAAATCTACATAATTCCCAATGTTTTATAGTTTATTATTGAAGAAAAAAAATAAATCATAAGGTTCTTTTTCCTCTAATTTAACATCTCTGGTTCAAGATTTTTTAAGGGCATAAATCGCATGCCGTAGTAGTCCAAGTCTTAAATATATAGCTTGATTTTACAATGTAAGTAACTTTTTTTCTCACAATGAACAATCAAAAATGTTAATTCTGTAGATTTGTAAGTCGCATGTTCCTTTCTTTGACATAATCGACATTTGTTCGTGAAATGTCTTGCTCTTTAAAACAAAATGTATTTATTTCCCTTGAAATCCGCCCAAATTTCATTTTTTGGGGGAATCTCCCCGATGATTATCAATTTTTCACGTTAAATTTTTAACTATCACGCTTACCACCTCGTCAATATAATCGTAGAGCATTCATCTTTTCTCTTGGGTATGTATTCTATAAAATATTTATACAATGTTATGTGAAGTTTAGCCATGTTATCAACCAATTTAACATTTTTTAATTTAAGACTATTTAAGACTAATTATTGAAATCTTACGCATTCAGTAGCAGCAGTTAAAGTGGTTGCAGTAGTAAGCTTTTCTTCGTATCGTGTTTAGCGTAAGGCTAATCTACTACTTAGGTCAGTGATCCTTTATTCTTGCTTCTGGAATAAACAAATGCTCAAGATGACTCCAAACTGTCTTGCCGGAGACATGATGGACATAGCAATACCTAAATATGGGATTTTATCCATCACAAATACCGGTGAATGAAAATGCAAATAAGGCCCATTTGAAAGTTTGATTAAATAAATTGAGAAAAAAAATCAAACATAAGTCAAATAAAACAGTCAAAGTTTAAACAAAACCGGATGAAAATGAGAAAGTTATGGAATTTTAGAGGTATAATAATAATAGTATAGTTCGTATAACTTCATTAAACAGTGAAATGTATCGCATAGGCTGTATGCAAATTAGCGAGTTGATGATGTCATCCCTCCCTTTTCACTTTCCGTCTAAACATAAACTTAACAAAGAGTATCACTTTTCTGTTCTGGGAATGTCAAACATGGTTTTAATCTTCAATGAATATGTGCAAAATCTACATTACTGTAATGTATTGTAATACAAAGGGAAAATATGATATAGGTATGAAATGTCATAACAAATTTAGAGGGAATAGTGAGGGGATGACATCGCCCGCTGATTTGCTTTGATTCCTTTCGATCACCTTCTGCATGAGCTCACGTTCGAAATTCAATGTTTTGATGTTTAAGATTTCACATCTACATAGAAGCGGTTTATGTATTAGGCAAATAAGAGAAAAACATAAATTAACATACAGTTTATTTGCACTAATATTTGGGAGAGCTGTGTTGAAGTTATATAAAAGCATACACAAGAAAGTATTGTTATAAAATATGTTATTTATTAGAGCGTGATGATACAAATTCTGTTCAATTACTTCAATTTTATATTGATTGCAGCCACATGTTGTATAGTATCTACAATAAGATTACAATATAAAATCACCATTACCTAAGTATCTACATGAATAAAGCAAGTGAAAACAAGATTAATAAAGCTCAATAAATCGGTACTATCTAAACTATTGATAAGCGGTTTCTCTCTCTTATTTGGAGATATTCAACTTATAAATATTCTTTATATTCTAGGGACTAAAATTTAAGCATTTGCCGTGACTAAAAGCCTCGCAGTTAATCGATAATCCGACACATGCTCCGACGACATTTGACCTAAGTTTCATATTGTCAATTATAAGGTCAAGGCTCAGGGTTTAATTTCAAAAGTTGTTTTCTTTTATGAATTGGCCGCGAATTTCGTATCGGTTCTGAACGTTCTGGACCCCGTTAACACAAATTTTTGCAATCAATTGCAAAACGACAATGGCCAATCAAAATCATTGTTGCATGTGCATATTGTTCAAAAGGCTGATTACTTACCTATCAGAATTGGCTTTTTAAATTTGAAAATGATCGCAAACATTTGTGTTACGGGGCCCTGGACCAGCAATCGTGGGTATATTTTTTAAAAATAATTAGAAATCTAAGGAAACGAAGGAGTTAACATGAGAGCACATTATAAAAGACAGCTTAACGCTTATCTTAAGCTCTGGTATGGGAATCGTATGTCGACAGAACGTGGCTATAATTCATTCTGGACTGCTTATCCTGCAGTATGTTGATTGTTTAACCAGTAAAATAAAAACAACCTTCCCAAAATTGATGAAAATCACCTTCAATAAAAACCATAACTCTCATTTGCACATGTGTTAATCATTTGGTGTCGGGCCTACTTACCTTGATTTTCTTATCTTTCTATGCTCAATACTCAGCCCTTATACATTTTCTACCAAATTCGTTGGGCACATGTCATTTATTTGTAATCTTGAGCATTCAGTGTAAGTTTTGTTGGATTATGTGAGAATTTATTTTCTATCATTACCAGAACTCAAGCTTATCTTCAAGACTAAATGAGCGGATAAAGAGTAAAACCGCATACTCCACAATCATATATGCAGGGCTTACTGCAGTAGTTCAGCGTTAAATTTTAATTTGATGATAGATGATAGTAATAATAACGAATAATTCTATTGCGCAAAATAACTAAAAGAAATTGAAAAAGGTTAAGCTTGACTTGTGTCGACGTTGGTTGCTGACGTAAATGAAGTCCCCGTGATACCGCTTTCGTTATCACCCCCGCTGTCACTGATGACGGGCTGCTCATCAGGCTGCTTGTTACTGAAGCTTACTATTGGAAATTTCCCTGTAAACGATCTTTTAAGACGTATCATAACGGCGACGATGGTCACGGCGATGAGAAGAAGGAGAACGATGATGATCCCGGCAATGAGGCCTGGATTTTCGCTATAACCGGACGACCTTGCCGAAGTTCCTCCACCATCATCTTAATTGAGATAAAGAATGTGATGATAAGGTTGGTATGTTAAGAGAAACGGTTTGCAAAACATCAATATAGATATGATATAATTCTTGTCATTAACGATCTTCCTCCAGCGATAGATTAAAACATATTAAAGTTTATTTATTTCTTGCCACATTAAACTGGTATAGGAAATATGAACAATTGCCCCTATAGTAAACTCATTCTAGATTCAACTTTACAGATATAAACATGAGCAATATAAACAATGCAGTTCTGTTTATAAAGTAGCGTTTTAATTACTAGGGGTTTAACTTTTCATACATTTAAATGTAGTAGGGAACTAAGCCAAGAAGTGACGAGGTGTGTTTGAAGCAAAAGCTGATTTATTAAATTTATTTTTACCCTGACCGCAGTCTCCCGATTGAGGGCTGAAATTCACATCATCTATGGCTATGATCCCGGTAGAACCACCTTGTATGGTGGCAGTAAACACCAACTGTAAATTAAAACAAAAATAAAAATATTACATTTACATAAAAATAATATTTCCCTAACACTTCTATATAATGAGCGCTCTAAAAAAATTGTTTATCTGAGATGGACATTAGATGACAAATCAATTACATATCATTAGCATTAATAAGTGTATGGTTGTAGAGAACATTATCGTATTTGTAGATCAGTAGTTTTGAAAAAAATTATCGTGTAAATGTGTAGTGACCAACTTTTCGGGTGAGTTTGATTTAAAATGTCCAAAGTCAGGAAATTTGGGATCAAGAATGTATATTGGAATCGGTCTACTGACTATTTCCTGACGCTATAATCGAACTAAACCATCAAACAAATAATGATAGTGGCAGAAACATGTTAAGATTGGCAGATAATCAACAACCCCAAAGTGTAAGTTTCAGAACATGTCTACAATTCGTAGGTTAATTTGGATACTGCGCAAGTTCTTACATACCCGAAACGGTCCGTCCATGAAATCCGAGGGTACTTTCCACGCCTCGTTCACCCACTCGGAGTCAAGTCTGCCGCTGATAGTGCCGATAGTATTACGTGGGCCGTTGGTACCACTTTGGACAGCGATACTCAAGTGCATTTTGTATTCATTAAGGAACAGAACCCTTGCTGTTAAGCAATGATCTCGAGCGCGAAGCTCGTAGGTATCAGAGTACATGACCGGGTAGATATTTCTGGTATTGGACGTCGAGTACATGAACGATGTCGAAGCTGAAATAAAGGTGGGACACAAAATGAGGAACTGCATGTTTAATATTCTTGTATTTTTGGGTCACAGATAGTAAATAGTTTATCAAATGATCGAAGAGATCTATATCAGAATTTTTCACTTCTCAACTTGTACACCACACGGGTAGTCATCAATCCTTCCTTTATTGCTATCGAAATCAGTTGAAATGCTCCCCATATTTCATATTATCATTTCTCCATGTTTATCAATGTTTTAATTATGCATTCTCTTGTTAAATCTCATGTATGATACAACATGGGGAACACTGAGGTCCTGACTAATATTGTGGGCGCCGATGAGACTTAAAAACTGCTTAATATGCTTTTCATGATTCACCTTGGAAAGACTAAGGTGCTGACTAGCTGTAAGTAATGTGGTATGGATAGTACCTGCGATATGTTATGTATAAATGTTGTGGGAATCAGCATAAGATGGGGGTGGGGATGTTTGTGGTACCCCTATGCGATTCGTAATATGCCTAGGTCACATTTGCCGCAGCGGCCGTGCGGTCTAAAATATCTACGGCCAATATTAATTATAGGGCCGCTGCAGCATTCACACGGTCACATACGGTAGCGCTCACATTACGTTAGGGTAGCCGCACGGCGTATTTTGGAGTTGTGGAGACAGAAAATCTGCGGCTGCCGTACGGCCTTTGAAATGAAGACGCACGGTAGCTTAGGGCGTCCCTGGGGCAGTCGTAGGTTTTTTTTTAAATAGTTAGGCAGACGCAAGGTAGCCGTAAGGTGCCCGTAAGGTGAAAAGCGGCCGAAGGGGGGCCATACGGCGACCGTGTGGCCAGACTGATGCTACCGCTTCACCCCTGGAGTATATACAACACAAGGCTACCGTACGCCCGACGTAAGTTCGCCGTGGAGCCACTCTACGGCATGGCTACTGCTTATCTAATCGCTACGACGAACCTAGAAATGAAAACAGTTATAACTCCACGTTATAATTCAACGGCGACCCGTACGGCCTGTAAAGATAGGGATACGCCCTAGGGTGACCATGAGGCCACCGTATATTCTTTGCGGCCGCAGCAAGTATCTTTCGATTTCGGGGGCGTACGGCCGCCGTATACTAGCCGTAGAGCAAATGTGACCTTGGCATTACTGATACAATAAATGGGAAAAACTTTTATTGTTAAACAATTCGACTCACTGATATTCTTCAGGGGTGATTCCTCGAGAGCTAACCTGTCGTACCATTGCCAGGTTGGAAAAGTGACGTCAATTGTCGTAAATAGGGTATAGCCGCAGTACTCTATACCTTGCTCGAAGCTACATCGACCTTCAGTAGGGTACCCATCACACGGCTGACGTAAGAATTTAATATCGTCAATGGCGAGGTCCCCTTTCAAGCTGTTTCCTTTGTAGCCGTTAAAGCGAACCTGAATCGAAATGCAACGTTATGAAGTCTGGTGTAATTTTGATAAGACGCTTCGATTTTTCTTTTTCTTATTGTACCTTTTGTAACTGTATTCTTTACAATAATTATTGTTGAACAATATTGCCCGCTATCATTTCATCCGAACACTCTTCAGAATTAGTAGCAAAACTGACAACCATCAAAAACAACAAACAAACAAACCAACAAAGAGAGTAACCAAACCCAAAATAAAAAAAAATCATATTTTTGGAGGACATCATACCAATAAATGGAAAATGATGCTTTTCGACAGAACTGTTTGTAATATAACAGAAATATAACCTCGAAATCGGCAAACCCTGTCGATGAAGCCGGAATATCGATATTAACTGGTATCCAACGATCGTCTTTATTTCCAGTGACCCGGAAGAGCTCAACGAGGGATGAAAGACCTTCCAATTTGAATATGATCCTGAGAGTACCAATGTCACCTTCTCCCATGGCGTGGTAGTAGAAGCGAAGACACGTGTCCGTGTTCTGGCTGTTCAGCAGAGGGGAGATGAGGCTAGCGAGGTTTCCCGGACGCTGCGGCAGTGAGGTCTCGATATACATGTAGTGACCTTCAGAAAGTTACGGAGATCATGTCAAGAAAGTTTAGAATAATTATTGGCAGAACACATGATGCACATCTTGCCTTAAAAGTAACCCTAACCCTAACCTTGACCCTAATACTTAACCACACCCTAATTCTAATCCTCATCCTAATTCTAACTCTTCAAATGTTGTTACATCTTCATTATTTATTGAATAATATTTCTGTTAATTGCCTTTTATCTTGATTATCAGAAAATCTGATCCGTACGTTTCATGAGTCCAAGCTCGGCAACATGAAACTAACCTTAGTAATCTTTAGTAGATCTCAAATTACTACTGATGCTTCATTCTACTATTCTTATTGCGAAATGAACAGATTAAAACAAAAGCTCACCAACAGAGGCGTAACAAATTATTCTTTCTACATTTCCTATTCTTACATTATCTATTTATACCGCGTGTCTAGACCACTGTTTTCAAAGTCTGCAGGATAAGGTCTCGTGCCTTGTAATGCGAGTTAAACACGAGGTGCCATTTCCATTACCTTACTTATTGCGCTAGTAATTCACCACAAGGTTTGCAAAGTTTATTTTGCAATTTTTTAATGATGTTACTCCAACGCAGTCCTACTTCATCAACGGGCATAAGGCCTACCTTCTGATGTGCCAAGGGTGTGATCACTATGTGGTCCAGTATTGGTGCTTCCCGTAGATCCCTGGTGCCAGGTCCAGTCAAAGGCATCCGTAGACCGCTGTGTGTAGCCGCACAGTGTCCCGTTCTGCTCGAAGTCGCAGTCTGCACCCCATGGTAGCGGGGTTGGTGCAACTGGGGAGGGGGAATTGGTTGGGAGGGGAAACAGAGTAATGATGAAAATGAACGATTTTAGCAAATGAAAAGTCCGATCTGATATTATATAGTCGAGAATCTATACATTTTCAATAGAGAGCAATATCAGATGGGTAATGACAGTTGTTTGATATTCCTCATCGTTGTATCAAAATCAAGAATCAAGTGTCGAAAATAATGACCCTGCATTACAATATCCTTTTATGACAGTTTAGAATCAAAAGCATTTTCACTGGCATTAAAATCCAAATATTTCACAGTAAGATTTTGAATATACATATTTTTACACATTTTCACAAGATTATTAGAAAGACCTCATGTCGAAATAAATTCTGGAATCCGACAACTTTTCATGAAAATGATTACCGGAAATGACGATTAACTTGTATGGTTGTTCTCGCTGTATTCTTAACTATTAATATCAATTAATCACTGATTTAAGTACCTTGTTCGGGGCAATTTCCAGTGACCATTCCGATGTCATCGATAGCAATCTTTCCAGAGGACTTGAAGCGGCCGATATTTGCCTCAAATAATACCTGAAACCATTTAAAAAAAAAAAGTTACAAATGAAAAGAAAAAAGGCAAAATGCCGAATCAGTTATTGCATGAGTACATCTTTCCAAACTAATACAGAAATATGCTGGAGAGGAATAAGCTATGTATGATTTCCATCCTTCTTCATTAATACCAAGGTTTACAGGGCTTCTATTTCTGGAAATTCCTACGCGGTTCTTATTTCGTACAAATGTTTTTATAATACTAAATTATTACTGCGTAGGAATATTTTTTCTACCGTTCTACTTGATTGTATATAGTTACGGACTTGTAGTTACGGACTTGTTCATTTAATTACTCATTATTCCTAAGTATCATTCGAGGTGATCACACTTGTACAAGCATTGCAGTTTAGTTGACCACTCTGTTTCCAATATGTATTTCTATATTTGTTGAAAATGTTTATAATTGATTTGTAATGTTTTGTTGGAAACATAAATAAATTGAAATTGAAATTGAAATTGAATATTGATTAATGTGCTGTCGGCCCATTATCACCCGACCATAGAATAACATTCACCTTAAACCTACGCAACAGTCGAAATTACAATGACTACTGAGTCTTACATGAAAGTTCTCTTTTGAACCGGGTAGGTCCATCCCGTAAAGTCGCCATTCATTGGCAATGTTTCCGTAGATCGAGAATTGCGGATCGAGTGAAGGCGTCGTGCCCCACGGTCTAATGTACAGGTTTAGATAGTCCACATTGGACCCGTACATGAATGCGTAAAACAGAACGCAGCGAGGTTGGTTGGATGCCTGTACGAATGGAGAGACTAGTACGGCAACGTCATACCGGTTAAGGCTTTGAAAGAGTGATGGGTCGAACATCGCGTAGTAACCTGTATTGAGAAAGAAAGTCGAGAAATCGGACAAAGTGACATACATGGTCATATATGCAATTAAACTATTTTTGGGGATTCGGTTAGATTTCATACCATTTGTACTCACAAAAAGGAGACATAAAAGCCTCGAGTAAATAAGTGTGTGTTCTCTGATTTACATTTTCTTTGGATTTTGCGATAGAATAATAAACTTCATATCAAAAAGATTTAAATTGCTCGGTATCAAGTATGATATCGACATCAGTACACCAACTCAAGAATCATACAACAAATTAAAATCCAGTTTTGATAATGTGATTCCATAGCAATCTAAAATCTGTAAATACAGAGACATAATTCTTGGAGAGTAAATTCTCTGTGCTACCACAGTCACACAACCAAACAGACTCCAAACTGATCATATTATTATTGGACATTCGAGGTCCTGCTTTTGTATTTTGTCTGTTGTCAGTCTGTCTTGTTGCTATGACTGGGGTGTCAAACATGTTATCAAACATGAATGATGTGCCAGGCATTAGAAAGGGCAACATATTGATGAAAGGCGATGCTTTATCTTGAAATGTAGATTAATAATAATACCTTCGCCTGTCCCGAGAGTGTGGTCTACATGGGGTCCCCTATCAGAGCTTCTCACGTACTTTCCCTGTTCCCTAGCCCAATCAGCCTGGTCGTTCTCGGAATCTTGCTGGTACCCGCAAAAGTTACTTTCGAAATCGCAATCGATGGAGTTGACTGCTGGTGGTGGTGTCACCGGGTCTGGCGGAATGGTGGTACCTGTTAACAGAACAAAACGCGAAATATTTATTAACAGTAACATTTATGATGGTTATACATCCAGCCCAGGGGATGCCCAATGCACCTACCATACCAATTACAGTTATTACTCTGGTTTTAGCACTTTGCTCTAACGCGTTCAAAGCATTGAAGAATTCACTGCCATCTATCCATGTACACCTGGGGAGAGTGGTTGATGTAGATACGTGTATTGCCAAAGGACATTAGTGCCGCGGCTAGCTTGGACTTGAAAGCTAACCATGTGACCCGGAGTCTAGTGACACTCCGATTCCTCTGCAAACCTACCTATTATTGTACTATTCGATTAAAAGAAAAAACGAAATCAAACCAAATAAAAGCAACTAATCAACTAATGAAGAAGAAACAAACCAACCAACAAACAACAGCAACAACAGCAATACAAACAAACAACCCCCAAAACAACATTGTGAGAAAAAATAACAATGGTGACGTCATACACACAATGAAATAAAAGTAAATAATTATTATGCAGTGATGTTTATGATTTGAATATTTGTATCACGGGTAAAATGTGTTGATTAAAAAAAGAGAGAGAGAGAGAGAGAGAGAGAGAGAGAGAAAGAGTGAGGGGGGGGGGGGTACCTAGAGAAAAAGAACTTGAAGTGGAAGAAAGAAAGACATGAAATAAAGACAGTAGGAAGGAAAAGAGAAGTAGAGAGAAAATATAAGGTGTAAAGGGATCGAGAGAGAAATACAGAGAGAAAGGGATAGGGATAGAGGGAGAGAGGAAGTGAGAGGGGAGAGAGAGAGAGAGAGAGAGGAAGAAAGGGGGAGAGAGAGAGAGGGAGAGAGAGAGAGAGTAACTTACGTGTAGGGCAAGGTGTGGCTTCATAGAACATGACGTCATCGATTGCAATGTCATCTCTCGCTTCATCACCAGGGATAGCCTCAAAGACAAGCTGTAGAGAGAAAGATATACAGAGATAAGGAGAGATAGAGAGAGTGAGAGTGAGATTTGGGGATAGAGAATGAGAGAGACCCAAGAGAAAAGGGTCGGAGGGAGAGAGAACAAGATTGCACGAAGAAGTAGGAGAAGGAGAAGAAGAGGAAGAGAGACAGAGACAGAGAAGAGAGAGAGAGAGAGAGAGAGAGAGAGAGAGAAGGGGGGGGGGTAGAAGAAGACAACAAGAAGTAATAATAGGAGATTGAGATAGGTAAGAAGTGAGGGGAGAGGAGCGGAGATGGAAAGAAATGAGGAAAAGAAAAAGAAGATGGATGGAATCAACAAGGAAATGTCAGAACGGTCAAAACAAATAATTTATCGGAATAACAAATGTACAATCAGAATCGTAGCTTTAAATATAAAAGGAAGTATCTTTTTTTACTTTCTTCAATTTGACCTGGACAAACTTGATCATTAATTTAGTATAATACGGACCGGTATGCCTACATGAGTTGTTAGTTCTTTTCAACTTGGGAGGGGGCAAAGACGTTATTTTCTTTGACTTGAATCATAAATATCATAGGTTTAAGGATATGTTTTGAACGAAAGCGTTGTTAATCCAACAACCAACTACATTAAATTTAGAAAAAAAGATGTAATCATTCCTGTATTCAGGGGATGGTTATGTTGACCTTACCCTATAATCGTTGGTGAAAGCCGGGATATTGAATGTCGCTCGATGCCAGAAGTTACCCCGGTTTCCCGTCAACGACCACGCGGACGAGCTCGGCAGCGGTTCTCCCTCGGGTTTGATGTAAACGTTGAGCGTTTCGGTGTCCCTGCCATACAAGTGGTACCAAAACTCTACACAGGACAAGGTCGTCTGGCGCTTCGCGACGGGCGACACGAGGCGAGCTCGGTCCGCCGAAGTTATCAGAGTGGAGCTGGATACATACATGAAGTATCCTGAAATAATGACAATCAAATCATAATCTATGGTATAAAATAGTTATTATGTCATTCCAATACACATCAGTGGAATAGGACCGAGTTTAATTTCAAAAGAACTATGCAAGATATAGGGATATTAAAAACTCGTGATACGTGTAGGACCTTTGTTGCACGTATTTGTCTTTCTTTCATTTACACGTACAAAAATCGCGGCGTTTTACCGCGTAATATCTGAACAATATAATTATAGTTATTACTTCCCTTGGAGTTTAATCCACTCAAATAAATGGTTTACTGACCCTTGAGAGTGGATACCGCCATATGATTATTGCACCGTTCGCCAGGAGGAAATAAATAAATGTGAATTGCAATTATTAACATTAAATGGCACGGGGATTGGTACAAGGATTTTAACTGGACATTCGGCTTTAGCCTTCCTTCAACATCGATTTTAACAGGGGTATTTAATTTGTGGTCTACATTTCCTGAAGTGTTGGTAGCCCAAATTCGCTAAACGTTTTGATGGCAAGCATTCACTCAAATTGTGTAATGATGTGAAAAAGGATGTCATTTAACACTCAACTCTGCAAGGATTTTCAAAACAAATGTGTTTGAAGACGAATATTGATGAACGAATGCAGAACTTGGGTTTTTGTGTTGTACGCAGAAAACCTAATTTTTGTATTCTTTCATCAATATTTGTCTTCAAACACGATTATTCTGAAAATCCTTGCAGAAGTCATTGTTAAATTACACCCCTTTTCACATAATTATACAATTAAAGTGAATGTTTGCCATCAAATTTGTTGGGCTCCCTACGATTTTAAGAGGCGTTGAACGTGATTTTATATCAGGGTCAAGTTTATCTGAAAGGGGAGAAAATGGACCATTGCCTGTACCTAGCTCGTTGCCAGTCGTATGATCTACAGATGGTCCTGTAATACTTTCCGGTGATGCACGGTTCGTCCAATCCCAGGAAATGCTACCGGTTGAATCAAGCGTGTAGTAGCATATCTCGATTTCTTCGAAGTCACAGGACACACTGCTTACATTTTTGATGACGTCTAGATCATCAAATACCAAAATGGTTTATTGGTTAGTAATCTTAATTGCAAACCTTCAATCAATATATATCTTCATACTTTTAATACTCCTGTATTTATTTCTGTCATGATTATATATTTTATAAGTTAGTTTATTATATTCAATTTTCAAGCGATATCATCTATATCTACAACAACAGAAATAAGAGTGTGCAAGGACCGAGGAATGTGGTAGAATTACTCACGATGTCCGGGGCAACCGTAGCTGGTGATCTCGATGTCATCGATGGCAATAGCACCATACAAGCTTATGCCACGCATTGCTTCGAATACAACCTGTTAGATTATATGATCAGAGGGACGAAACCGCGGTTTAACTTGAGCAGAAACATATGGAGCTGGGACGAAGAGAGGGATAGAGAGAGAGAGAGAGAACGAGAGAGAGAACGAGAGAGAGAGAGAGAGAGAGAGAATGAAAGAATGAAGAGAAAGAGAGGCAAGGGACCGGTCGGGGGAGAATGTGTTTATATGATCACTTTCAGAAAATATTATGATTTAATCTATAAAGTAGTTACCATTTTGGCCTAGTCAATTTGTTGAGGAAAATATTAAGTTCTTTGTTTTATTTCATTGTAAATGATGAGGAGTAATCCACAGCATTTCGCCCTTTTTCTCATATGCCCTTTTTGTCACTTTAAGTTGTCCTAGGGGGTAGTTGTCCTAGGGGGTAATTTAAGTTTAAGCGGCGATTAAATGCAGTTAAACATAGATTATGATCCTAGTCAATTAAAATAAAAGAAATGTATCAAATTTGTAGAAAAATACATGAGCATATAATTGTAGCAAAAAGTTTTTGATAATGCTTATTCATGTTCATGATCATCGAAACAACTAAACTCTTAATTAGGCCTACAACAAAACCAGCAACATGAAGAAATAGCTATAATCTAAACAAAATAGAAATCATAATAGACTTGTGAGCTGTGCATTCCATATTTTACATAAACAAAATTCTTTTCATCTTACGTAGAAATCTTCAGGCGTATTGAGCTCCACTTCAGCCGCCCTCCACGTTTCTCCTCGAGCCCCTGCCAGCCCCCAGATCGGTCGGCCGAGGTTCGGAGAGCTCTCGTTGCGCAGGTAGACGTTAAGCTCCCCTACCGTATCACCGAACATGTAATACCAGAACACCACACAGAAGGCCTCGCGGTCGTTGGCTTGAATACCGCGTATTTTGGGCGAGATGATGCGCGCCTTGTCGGACCCGTGGTTGTCGTTGCCCTTCGCTTCGATGTAGATGTAGTGCCCTTTGTCGAAAACAAATTCATGAAAAAACCCAAGAATATTTTAAAATTTCTTTCATCTTCAAATAGATAAAATTTCTATCAATGATGACAATTTTTTTTGTAGACAAGGTGACATCTTATTCGTTGCACAAACCATTTGGCCTAGGGCCCAAGGGAAACGCAAAAAAACGTTATGGTAAGATTGAGGTCTAAGGTTAGGTTTTGAATTCGGGTTTCGCTCGCAAGTCTCACCTTCCAATGGCCCATGAAGCAATGTAGTTAGAACAGGGCCAGTGGTAAAATAGACCAAAAAGGATATAAAGCGTAAAATACTGCGTGAAGATGACCTCTCTTTGCTGACGGTTTATCCCGGTACAGTGTACATGTACAAGCTTGATGGAACACGATGCCTCTTTCCTATTGTCATTGCGTTATTATTTATCTGTCCTAATCATCCCGTGAATGCAATGATTGATGAGGCGATACGTCAGTATTAAAGTCAAACATTTGCATGCACTGTTCATTATGCAGTCACTTTTTTTTAAACCTGGTGCGTCAAAGATCGCACCAGTCACCGACGCAGTCCTACGTCAAGGAAATAGCGCATCAAATAACAGGTTCTAGGACACCTACCCCCTGGACATCCACCCCCTGGATAACCACCCCAGCCAACTACCCCTAGGACAACTACCTCCTAGTACAACTACCACCTAGGGCAACCACCCTCTAGGACGACTACCCCCGGGACAACTACTCCCTACGACAATCATCCTCTAGGACAATTGCCCCTGGACAACTATCCCAGGGGTAGTTGTCTGAGGGTTTGTCCTAGGGGGTAGATGTCCGGGCGGTAAGTGTCCGGGTAGTTGTCGTAGGGGGTAGTTAACTGGGGGTGTTTATCCGGGGGTGGATGTCCAGGGCGTAGGTGTCCGGATACGCTAATAACAACAACAGGGCGCGATAGTTCAGTTGGTAGAGCAGTGGTCTCGTAATCCGGTGACCCGGGTTCGAAGCCAAGTCGATGCGCTAGTGCCCTTTGGTAAGGCATTAATCCTCATTACCAGTTCCCTCGGAGTGGACCTAAAGCCGTCGGTCCTCTGGTTGCTTACTAACAAGCATTTATGCTTTCTTAGCAGTCGGGTTAACTAACCACCAATAAAAAATAAAAACAAAAATAAAACAAAAATAAAAAAATAAAATAAACTACAACAAAAGAAACATACCAAGAATTAGCAAATAAACGACACATCTGTACAACGAACCTGTTTGATTTCCGTAGGTTTGATCGACATCAGGTCCTCCGGTAACGGTCGGAGTTTGTCCTTGTTTCCTCAAGAAATCAAAGTTATCCGTCTGATCCTGGGTAAAACCACATATGCCATCCTCGAATTCACATCTCATGTTTTCTGGAGAATTTCAAAAGACGCAACAAAATTATTTTTCTTCACGAGTGATTGGATAAAGTCTGTCGGTAAAAGGGGGAGAAAAAGAAGAAGATCATGAAGAGTAAAAGAAGAAGAAGAAGAAGAAGAAGAAGAAGAAGAATAACAAAAAAGAAAAGAAATAAAAATAGAAAGAAGAAGAAGAAGAAGAAGAAGAAGAAGAAGAAGAAGAAGAAGAAGAAGAAGAAGAAGAAGAAGAAGAAGAAGAAGAAGAAAAAGAAAGAAGAAGAAGAAGAAGAAAGAAGGAGAAGGGGAAAGAAAAAGAAATAGCAAACGAAGAAGATACTGAAGGACCCTTTATGCATCAAAGGACATTGTTTCTAAGGTATAAACTTTTAAATCCTTCTTTCGTAAATTAAGGTAGTCTCGTTCTTTGTCTTGGTCTTAATCTCGAGACCAAGACCCAGAAAATCAGCATAAAATTTAAACTCGTATTTCATGTAAATGTATATTTTTCAAACCCCACGTTTAGGAAAAAAGAAATCCCTGAACATGTACTGCATATGAAACTGAAATGAGGAAAATAAATACAAATTTAGTTTCATATTTGCAGTACAGTATAGACTTACCTATAGGGCATGCTCCGTCAAGAACTTCAACATCATCGATTGCGATGTCAGATAATATCCCGGGGCCAGTGACTGCCTCAAAGACGATCTATTTCAGAAGGGGGGAAATGTAAAATGTTGATAAATACCCTGGTAGGACTCGCATGGGGAATATCGGAAACGTCCCCTCTTTAAGCGCGCTTCCCAAGGATCGTGCAGTTTCCCCCCAAATTTCGCTCCTACCCTCAGAATAATAAGC